GAAAATGTGAAGACAGAGAGAAATCGGAAAAGGAAAAGCTCTGCGGAGAGCTATGAGAAAGGTAGAAGAATTATCCCTATAGAAAATAATTACTATAGTGTTATCTCGAGGATACTTCGTAGAAGATAAGCGCGAGGAATTCTCTCATGAGAAAACGAGGAAAGATACTTAAGCCCCTGACGAATGGAATGAAAATTATCTGTGGGGTTGAACAGGCTGCGGAAAGCACAGTGCGGAGAACACCTCATCTGACTATGGTCGCTCCGTGGAGAAAGTCAAAAGCAAAGTAAAAGTAAAATTGACGAGGCGGGACACGATTTGGAGCGAGTGGGTAAGCAAGCGAGCGGACAAAGATACCGTACAAGAGAATAGATACCTCATGTTCGTAGCATTCGAAAGTTATCGGCTCCGCCGATCGGTCATTAGTGTAGTTAGCGATGTCGATACGTCGATCGTAATATGGATATGTTAATGATAACGCACGGTGGTTACACGTTATTCCTGTTTAACGTGTACAAATCTCTAGCAGTATTGAAGATGCATGAAAATACCGGTGGAAGATTTGCGAAATGCCTCCGTGAAATTCAACGTATCTCCGACGAGAACGAGCACGCTCGTGACGCGTCTCAAACTAACCCTGGACGATACAGCGAGCGTGGGCCAATATGAAAATCCAAATAAGGAGGAGAGGAAAATAATTAAGAGGCCATAATTTACGCAATATGGTTAATGTCACGTTGCCCTCACATTTACAGAGTCGTGTGGTGCCGACAATCAAAGGAAGATCACGAGTCTTGAGCCACGAAGGGTCCCCCGAGGAGAAACCCGCCGGAGGAAATTTCTACAACGAATTCCGCCGGCGGCCCCGTAATTACTCGCCGCGTTTGCGCGCGCCTTCATTCATTCACCCGGGGAGAGATATACGCGGCTTTGATAGCTTATAGCGCGCGCGCGCATCGCGCGTGTATGTGTGTACCCACCCTCCTTCCCGATCTCATATTCCCCGATGAATTCCGCGAACGAAACGAGTAACGGTAAAAAAACGTGAGGACCCTCCTCGCGGCGGGTCCTCGACAGGACACGGCGTTCCCGCGCGGTAGGTGGTCTGTTGGCGGAGGGATGGACCGTGTGGGCCACATCGGCTCGATTCCTCTCTGGAGCGCGTACCCGAAAGACGAAGCGGAGGAGAAGGGAGGAATATCAGAGAGGGCTACAGGGGATGAGAGCGGTTGAAGAACAGAAAGATAAAGAGAGAGAGAGAGTGAGGGGGGGGGGGGNGCTTTGTACGACGAGTACTCGCCGCGCCGGCTGGCATCTCTCGTGTATTTCCGGTGACTGTGCAGTTTTCGCGGGAGCTGCAGCTAAAAGAGAGCGCCACGACCGCGGGAAAAGACAAAAGAAGCGAAATTGGGTGCCCCGGTGGCTAGGTGAGCGAGCGAGCGAGGGGTCGAGGGACCGAGGGAGCGGGAGGCTAGAGATAGAGGGCCGCGTCAGGTATACGAAGGTCGTTAGCTCGAAGAAAAATTAGCCGTTTGTCGGAGCCCTGCCCCGCGGAGATGGGTCAATCAGATACGAAAACACTTGTCCAGACCCGGCCATTGTAGCCGGTAAAGTAACAGGAGACCACAAAAGATTGTAGACACAGGTATACCGTCCTAATGACCGGCCGGAATTCAAACCTCAGCCGGGAATCCTTGGCAGGGTGGCTTCCATGTCCGCGCGCCGACCAGTTCGTGTCATCTCAGCCTCGGAACGTAGAAAGACGCGTGTGATCTCCTCGACGTTCTTTCCGTAGTTGGGCCACCGATGGGGGGTCGATACACTCGCAGTTGATCTAATCAGGATAAAGAAAGACGTAGCGGTACTATGTAGCTGTATCATCTATCGAGCGTTTTGTCATCGAGGAAACGCGAATTCGCGACGAGATCCCCGGTTTACGAGATCTCATATTTTTCCACTAAGCAAAGCGATATGTCGGTAGATTGACAGCAGATTTCAGTCAGAGTGCCGCGGCAAATACATCCATCTTCGTCCGTGTTAAGTTCGTGTCGATAGAGTCTGCTGGCTTAACGTGAACACGGTGGATCGATGACAGAAACCATGCATAGGAAAAAGTAATATTTACTTGATGCAAGTAAAATTTATTTAATCTAAGTAAACATTTGCTAAAGAGCTAAAATTGCTAAGTAAAAATTTGCTAAAGAGAATTTATTTAATCTAAGCAAAAATCTGCTAAATCGTTTACTTAAATCTAGCAGTTTTTCGTGCGGTGGAGATCTTTACGGAGATCTTTACGGTGGAAATCTCTACGGAGAGATTTAGGATCTGCGGTGCGTTCCATTTAAATACATTTAAATGGTCACAGAACAATAGATCCTGTTTCTGCTGTCAATCTGTGCTGTCATCCTGTTATATTTCTGTTAACACTCTGACAACCGACAAAAATTTATACACGGAAAGAATTATTTTTAAATTAATGATAGATATTCTTATATACAAGCGAAAATATTGTAATCTTCTTAGAAGATTTTGTCTTGATTTGATTAAATTTATATTGATGCAAGTATTACTTGCACTCAATTCAAGACATTTTTTATTTCATAAAAATTTTTTTTCATTTTATATAAACATTTCGTAAGAATCTTCTAAGAATATTATAATATTCTTGTCTATACATAAGAATATCATTGATTTAAGACCATTTTTTTTTCTAAGTAGCAGACACTGCGAAAAATCTGTTTCTGCCTATCTGCGTTTGCAGATAATTGAAGAAGAGGAACGATACGGGTATCATTATTGAAGTGAGATTTGAAATGCGATTTTTGTGTTTTGGAATTCCCGGACACTCCCTCACTAATTTGTGGAAATATTACAAGTCGTAGCCTTCGAGAGATTCTTCACTTAGACATATATCGAAGATCCCACGTTGGATTCGAAAATTTGTATGGTATCCCGGCTGATACCATCGGCACGATCGGTATCCCGGTTATTAACGCGTTAATTAAGAGACTCCTACCTCAAGATAATCTCTTTCGCCGCAATAATTCAATAATTTATGACTCTAAATGCGATAAAGCGCTTCAAAGCGCGAGCACCATTGGCGCCGGCTAGCGGACGGTTTAAATCCCAATCGGAAGTCAAGGGTAACGTCGCGATTTTCGCGGCAGATTCCGGCGGTGTTCTGGGAGTTCTGAAGTTTCGGCTTGGTGCAAAGTGAAGAATCGTGTCCAGGTTTCGATCGGTCAGGGGCGTGGTCGTAAACTTTAGTGCCTACCCGTGTATATACTCAAAGGCCACTTTGCTCTGTCGGCGTGTTCGTTCGCCATCGATGCCGTCGATGGGGCTTTCTCTCCTCTTTCTTCTGCTCTTCTCCCCCTATGCGTCTCGCTTTCTCCTTCTCACCTTCTCTCTTCTCTCCGTCTCTCTTCTTCGCGCGCCTGTTTTCTTTCCGGTTTCCAGAGCGAGAAACACACCGGGAACCTACTTGTCGCCTAAATCAAGATAGAACAGCCGGCCATAAAACGTAAATGGGGTTATTGGCCCGAGCCTTTAAGCCGGTAATAGATTTTCACTTTACCGCGGCCGCGTTTGAACGCGTCGCGTTCGCCTTTTTGCCCTTCGATCGTGATTTAGCCGGCTTGATCGCGAATTTTACGGTCGGACTTTACGACGTCGCATTAATCGCTCCTTGATTGTTCCCTTTGCGATCGATGAGAAAGAGAAATATATATATATATATATATCAGGGAGATAGAGAGGGGGTGGACGAGGGATACTGTTTGTTTTGCTCATGATTAATTGGGGAAATTTTCCGCGCTGGATCTCGTTTCGTGGAAGAAACAGGCCGATGTTATTTACGGACGGTTATCTTTTCGCGATCGAAATCAGAGAGTTGAGGCTGATAAGTTTGCGCTAACTTTAGATTAGATCTCGGCGCGGTAGGTGGATAGCCATCATTGACTGTTAGTCCGTTTATTTGCACGGGTTGCACGTCCGCGAATACATCTGGCACTCGGCCAATGTAACTATCCAGCCGTGAATCGAAATAACCATAATTATCTATGTTACGCGCCGAACGATAAGCTTACACGTTGCATGGTTAAACATTGTTTGAAGTGTACGCTTAAATTACTCGCTCGATCGCCCAGAGATACCGACTTAAAGCCTCTTCGCGGCAAAATCACGCTGCCCATTTATACATGCGCTCCACTCGACGCTCGACTCGAGTCGTTTCGAGAACAGAGCAGAGCTCGTCTCTATTTATTATTGAAACTATAAAATCTCGCTGAAGTACTCGAGCGAGCTGGATTTGCATACTAGCTGAACGAGCTACGGTTTACTCGCCTCATTACGAAAGGATTTGCCTCTGCGATCTGATAAGGAGAAAGAAAGAGAGGAGGTCTTTCTAAATCATCATCAGTCGTTTTCCATATTTAAATATTTTACATTTATAATTATTTAACTTATAGAGCGAGCGAGGATCTCTCATTCATATTACATTTCTTTGCTGAGACACGTTCAAATTCGCCACTGAACAGAACTTCATTCGGTACCAGAGCTGCCAGATTGTAAGATTTCTGGATCGTGATTCACATAGCGAGCGGCTTATATAACGCAACACGAATATAAAACCTGCGACACACGATGTTGGTTTTATGCTGGATCGCTTGTGTGCTAGAAATACTGCGTTCTGATTGGTGCATTGGTGCAGAAATCACGTAAATTATTATTCGGAAACCCCACGATCTGACAGCTCGGTTCGGCACGTGCTAGAAAAGTCAGTGGCGCTGTGTAGCACTTCGTACGCCGCGCGACTAATCGCGTCTCACCGAGAATTGTCATTTCGACGGATGGAGCACTTGGCGCCATCTAACGTGCGTACAACGCGTGTCGTCGTTCGCACGCGCCGCCGGCATTCATTCGCACGCTTCCTTTAAATCGCACACGTGCCCATTCAGGACGAGAGAGAGCACAGAGTGAACGTGGCCGTCCCTCTTTGGAGGGCGCTACGCGGCATACGCTCTTTTCACTCCGCTTCTCCACCCCGCCTGCTCATCTGCGGATACCATTTGGCTGCGTTTGCGCTTAGATCGCTTTGGTCATCTGTCCCGTCGTCGTCCGACGTCCGCGTCAACGGCAGATCGTTCTTATCGGCCTGATGCGCAGCCGGTTGTTCGACCACGACATCGTTTTTTAAGGATTGTATCGCGACGTCCCGACGTACTTCGTCGTAAGTTCCTCGACTTTTGAATTTATCTCTCGTCCTGATCCGCGACTTCTTTCTCGGGACCAAGTGCATCTTTTTTGAGAGAACGTGTCGCGAAAATGACGGGCAGTATCGCGACTCGAGCCACGAAGATGGGAAAGTGAAAGGTTAGACATGGTGTCATCAATAGTCTCGGTGTGAGAATACGGAAATGCGTTCGACTTGAAGGTGTTGAGTTTTAGAAACGTCGAAGCATACCCGGGCAGCCGAGTGTGCGAATCTGCCACGTGAGAACTCGTTGTCTTCGGGAAATCCCAGCCTGCTCCGGATTCTCATTTACTCGTCGGCTAATTCGCTGAACTATTCTCACGGGAAACTTTCACTTTCTCACTTTTCCACTCTGCTCGTCACGCGACCTTGATCGCATTTCTTTCTTCTTATTACACGTCTTCGCACGTCGCGTCTTATTGTCAATTTTTCGTTAAATGTTATATGAGATCATGGCGTTGCTCTCTTTCGGAAATGTACATATAAAAAATGCGTGCGTCACAATCTCGTCTCGTCTGTCTCGAGTAAACGGGATAAAAAAATGATGGTTGTCTGATACTCATTCAATAATATACTGCTTTGATGTCTCATACGCATGAATGTCGTCGAACGTAACGTGTATCTCAATATATTATATAAGAATAATGCAAGTACTATGTATGTGCAGATACAAATGCCATATGTATTTTTGTTCCATTGTCACTTTGCATCTGCAAGATCATCCTTATTTACATACTGTGTCACGAAAAATATGTCACATATTGCATTGAAACAGGTGTTTCTATTGTAGGAAATTAACAAAGGTCTAGAGATAACTTAACAGATGATAATTCCTCCATGCACTAATTGCTACTTAAGTAGTACAAGATAAGATCAGCCAGATCAGTCGGAGAAGATCAGTCAGAGAAGACGTGACTCAAGAAGACCTGACCCAATAAACGAAATATTAACAGTATACTCAGTTTGGTAACAGATCCATAGTCATCAGTATTTGTTTGTATTGAGTTCATATTCTGTCGACAGAGTCTGCTAACATAAACAGTCGATTAGCTAATGGAAATTAAGTAAGATCTGTTCTATTTAAATGCTTTTAAATTATCAAAATGATAAATTTCGCTCGGTTTCTTCCATCTATATTCTATTAGGAGGTTCTAAAATATTTTTGTTAATAAGCTATCAACAAAAATTTATATCAACTACATAAAATCTATTTCTACAGATTATTTGGAATAATATACTTAGAATGATATCAAAGAGAGGGAGAGAGAGAGAGAGAGAGAGAGAGATAGTTTTGTTTTTTACTGAGTATCTTTCACAATATTAACATTATGAGAAACTCGATAATTAAAAATATAAAAATATTTTTTTTTAACATGACATTATCAGTGCATTACATTGAAAATCACTGTATCGAGGAAGTCATAGTATATATTTCTCTTCACTCTTATCTTTAAAATGCATTCTATATTTATCATGTTTCTGCTGTTATGCTTAATGATCGATTTGTTTATTATACTGCTTTGACTGTTTTCACAATTATACCCGGACAAAATGCACGTGTCGTATTTCTGGAGGTTTACTTATAACCGGATGTAACGTTAACATCTATTTGCAGCGTTTCACGATTCTTCACTGTCGAACGTAATTAACTGCGACCTTGCCGGTGTGTATCGTATTGCGTATACATTATATGACGTCATTTATACGCGCATGTGATTACCCGAATTCCGTCAGATTATTTGAAGAATGAATAGATAACGTCGAAATTTCTGGTATTTCCTGCAAACGCATCGATAATACCACATAAGCAAAGAGACGTCTTTATCTTAACGATTGCGATTATTTTATTTGTGGTTATTGTAGCATCAGACGAAATATTTTTCATCGAGCAAAATATTTTATATATAATAGCGGACAGGACAAAGACGAGATATATTTTATTCGAAGTAAATAACATTATTACATATAAGTACACACATACACACACACACACACACACACACGGAACGTGTATGAATTGTTTGTATCCGCTTTATATCGAAAATTTTTTTCCATGTGTTTCTTATTATTTTTCTCATTATTCATGATTTTTCCTTCTTTTTTATGTTGCAGAAAGATGCAGCATTTTCTATCGTTATTCTTGGTAATTTTAATTATACAAACGTCGGTCGCGCCACCTGTTTCTCAAAACAAGAATGAAGATCATAAAGACAAGGAAAACGAGGTCGATGACTCAGAGGATGTGGTAAAATATTTTTAGAAATATTTCTTACGCGAGTATGTACCAGTTAACACAATTCACGGTGTTATTACAAAAGCTCGTCTTTATTTGTAGGCGATTATTATGGAATATCACAGGTACCTGAAAGAGGTAATTCAAACTCTGGAGAGTGACATGGAATTCCGTGAGAAATTGGAGAAGGCCGATGAAGCTGACATACGCGTAAGTGTAGTTTTAAAAATGGTATTTATTTATAAACATCCTGAGATAATCCAAATGTGCTCAGGAAGTCCTAGGATTTGCCAAGCCGTTCTGGATATGTTCGGAATGGTCCTGGAGCGTCTGTCTCTCTTGTGTACTATCTGAGACATAAAATAGTCTTTTGTAGAACATTTTTCTTCGTAGCGACAATTTTTGAATATTGAATTTTTGAAATTATCTATTCTGAATTTGAGTGCAACCTGCAATTTTCAGTAGATATTTTCGTACGCAGACAGGCAAGATAGCGCATGAGCTGCAGTTTGTGGATCACAAAGTCAGGACGAAACTAGACGAATTGAAACGAGAGGAACTAGAGAGGTTGAGGCATCTCGCCACCAAGGAGCATAATTTGATGAATGGTCTGGATTTGAATCACTTGAAGATAGCGGAACACTTGGATCACTCCAACAAGCATACGTTCGAGATAGACGATCTGAAGAAATTGATTGCGAAGGTATGACATTCGGATGTTCAGAAGTACTTAAAAAAATCCTTTACAGGAGACTCCGTTTAATAAAGATATTTTAAATTTCTATTAAAATATTGCAGACCACGCAAGACCTAGCGGAGGCTGATAAACGAAGACGCGAGGAGTTTAAGGAGTATGAAATGCAAAAAAAGTTCGACGAAGAGCAAAAGATGAAGGGTAATACGGGTAACAAAACATGATACTTCTAGGCTTGCCTAATAATGGTGGTGATGAGAGTGGTATTATTGTTTGTGGGTACAGTGATTGATTAAAGTTTGTTTACGTTAATCGTAATTGTCGCCTTTTAAATTAACGAATTTCATTCTTGGAAGGCATGAAGGAGGAGGAGAGGAAGAAATTCGAGGAGGACTTGGAAGCGATGAAGAAGAAGCACAGGGAGCATCAACCTGTATGTTGAGAGACAGTTTACAAATTTGATAATTTTCTTTACTTCATCTTCTAACAAGTATAATGTGTGTTTATAGCTTCATCATCCCGGTAGTAAGCAACAACTGGAGGAGGTATGGGAGAAACAAGATCACATGGAGAATCAAGAGTTCAATCCCAAGACATTCTTTTACCTTCACGGTGCTTGAAAAGATTCTTATTATTACTGTCATCATTATATCACATTATTATTGTAAAAGCTAATTTTCTACGTGCATACAATTTAAATTTCAGATCTGGACGGCAATGGTTTTTGGGATCAAGACGAGGTGAAGGCTCTATTCTTGAAGGAATTGGATAAGATTTACAACGAAGGCGCCCCTGAGGACGATATTTACGAGAGACGCGAAGAAATGGAAAGAATGAGGGAGCATGTTTTCAACGAGGCCGATCTCAATCACGATGGTCTTATAAGGTATATACATTTCAACGAACAATCGGAATACCCATTTAATATTCTTTACGTTCATGGTTTCTAAAATGATCCACAAGGAAGAAACGTATTACGTAACACTTTATCGCAGTTACCAAGAGTTCTTGGAGCAAACGAAGAAACCTGATTTCCAACGGGACGAAGGATGGCAGGGACTGGACGAGCAGCAGATTTATTCTCAGCAAGAATACGAGGCTTACGAGAGGCGCAGGCAAGAGGAGCTGCAGAAGATGATCTCTAAGGGAATGGTGAGTATTTGATTGTGTATTGCGAGAGTAAACTTGATGAGTAGATAAGCCGTAAATGTAGTTATGTGCCGCAATAAATATTTACAACGTTAAATCCCTGCATATTTATATATCGAGTGATATTTTTCATTTTGTACATTACATACACTATATAGACTCTGAATATGTTCTTGTACGATTTTGTTTTACGCTTTCGTATACATTCATTCGACAGCATGCTCGAAATGAACTTAGAGAATGTTCCATTTCTTTCTTTTTCCATTTGAACAAATCGATTGTATTTCTCTTTTGTGTGTGTGTGTGTGTGTATATATTCAATATATACGCGGTTATGTAATCAGCACGACACGCATACTTTATAAACGCTCGTGAACAACGAAGCTACATAGTTACGTTATCTTTATCGCTATTGGTCGTTTAAGACGTGCCGCCCGTAGTGATTAGGATAATTAACATAGCTTGTGCACTTTCTGTTGTTGTTGTTAGTTACCACCATCCCCTGACAATGCACATCTACCCGTCCAGCACGAGCAGGTGAGTAAAGGCAAAAATTTCCAAAGCTGCGAAACGCATCTTGCGAATTCGAGATTTCTATCGAACCCGTGATATTGCCTCTTCTTGGTCCGCTAATTCGATCGTTGTTTTGCAGTTCCCACCGCAGTACCAGCAGCAATATCCAGGACATGTAGCGGGGCAACAACCGATAGGTCACGTACCGCCGCCGCCGCAATACCAGGGTCAGATTCCACCGTATCAGGCTCAGATTCCGCAACAGCAGCAGCAACATTATCAGGGCCAAGTGGTGCAGCAACAACCACAGTATCAAGCGCACCCTTCGCAGTATCAAGAGCAAGTGCCACATCAGCAGCAATTCCAAGCTCAACAGGCACAGCAACAATACCACCAAGGCCAGCCACAGCAAGTCCAACAACAATTCCAGGGCCAGCCTCATCAGGCACAACAAATGCAACAACAAGCGCAACAACAACAACCGCAGCAGCAGCAACAGACGCAGAATGAAGTGCCACCAAATATTCATGGTAACGCCCCGTCGAATAATCCAGGAGTTGTGTCAGGCGGACAACAACCGAGTCCGCCGATCGCATCGAATCCCGCTCAGCAACAGCAGCAGCAACAACCAAATCCGAATAGTATACCGAATGTACAGAAAGTGTAGAAACACACTACCTGATAAATGGTAAAAATATCTTTTAGCTGTTTCTTTGTGAAGTGTGATCCGATCCTAATCTAATGTAAAAGTGTCGGGCGGATAAATTTGATAGATTGATTTAAAGAGGCTATGTGCAATTTTTCTCAGAAATTTTCAGATTAAATTTCGATTTTTTTTCCTTATTTAATTCAAAATTTATACTTCATTTTACATTTTGAAAATATTTGGTCCTATTTTCAAAGTGTACATATTTCGTTCTGGATTTATATCTGAGATCTTCGAGTAAAATCTAAATGTAATATAGCATTTATATTATGATCTTAAACAATATATGCATTATTTTCAGTATAACATACGTGAATTATATATTAAAAATATACGGAATGTGAATTGTATATTAAAAACACATTGAAATATGTCATCTGATTGTTCTTAGGATCAGCCATCGAATTAGTTTCACAAATTCGTTTCTAACGTCAGTAGTAGGGATGGAAATTAGTGTTTGACTTTTTTAAGTTAAATGATCGATTATGCTATAAATGTTTTTAGATTTGATTAAATTTTATGATAGTTTTTTAATTCGACGTTATCAAGTGGCAGTACCACAGTGCAATACAAACAGTACATAAAATAAAATAACAGAATGATAATAGATCGAATATGACTGTCCACGATGAATGTGACGACTGCTATCATTAAAGTTTATTACAATAAATTTTATTGGGCATACTGGCTCGNACTGGCTCGTGTGTATACATATCTTATTAGAATTACTTAAAAGTCTATTTTGTTTTTCATAATTGTATGTATAATTTATTGTTAGATCAAAACAAATTCTTAAAATTTAGAATCTTGAAAATAAAAAATTCAAATTTCTTGATAATTGAAAAATATTAAATAGAAATAAAAAAATTAAATAAGCTGGAACATTCGCAACAATAAAGATAATAAAATAACTCGAGCAGGGGACTATCACTTTTCAATGTGAAAACTCAATTGAATGATGAGGATGAAAATTAGAGTATCACTGTTTTTTTATTTAATTCAATATATCTTTGTGAGCAATATTGTGACCATCATATATTTGGAAACTAGAGATTTTAAAATGTTTTTGAATCCTCTCGTTATCGCATTTTCAATGTTATGCTTATTCTTCATTAGTATGATTGTTCTTGCTTTAAGCATCATCAGATTGATGTAATAAAAGTATTTTATTATTACGCTTTCCTTTCCTCTTGAGTTTCTTTGATAATAATTCTGCAGCAAGCCTTTTATATGCAGCAAACCAACTATTCTTGTTTTCGGAATTCGTCGGGTTTATGCGTATTTAATATGTGAAAATGCGATATAATTTATAAATATAATTCTAATTTTTCACTCTTAATTTTCTTGTATTAAAACGTATGTAACTAATATATTGCTCTATTCATCTTTATGCCAACACCTTGTACATGTAATTTAACAGCTGTCAGATCACCTACTGCGCATGATCGTCATTTAATAAGTTCATTTCGTCATAATTTTTGTATGTTCCGAAATATGAAAAACAAAAACTGTTATAACCGTTCTGTGACCGAGTGTACGGCATTCGTTAATAAATACATAAAAAGTTTAAAGTTTGCTCTTCAAAACACCTGTATCACATTTTCGAATTAAATAATGTTTCGCTCCGAAAATTCAACTGAAAGACTAAGTTTGAAATTGACTGGTCGTCATGTTTCGTTTAACTCGAAAAATCTAAATGAAAATTAAAGAAAGTATTAATATAGGCTAATGTGCCTAAAAACTAGAGAGTTCAAGCTTTAAGGTGCTTTTTGAACGATCTCGATAGCATCATTATTACGAAAGTTACAGCCTATTGAATTCCGCCTATGTTTTATTATAGTGGAAAGTACAGCTGATCCAGCCCTTGAGTCATACTACTTGAGAAATAGAAGTACTTCTGACTCTATCGTTTAGTCATATCACGACCTGAGTTTCTCGTTAAGTATAGTAACGACTCGTAGCGGAGAGTCTAGAACTAAATTTCAGAAATAATGGGTCCAATAATTACGTAGACCAATAATTACGTAGACCCATTATTTCTGAAATTTAGTTCTAGACTCTCCGCTACGAGCCGTTACTATACTTAACGAGAAATTCAGGTCGTGATATGACTAAACGATAGAGTCAGAAGTACTTCTATTTCTCAAGTAGTATGACTCAAGGGCTGATCAGCCGTACTTTCCGCTGTAATAAAACGTAAGCGGAATTCAACAAATTGTAACTTTCGTAATAATGATGCTATCGAGATCGTTCAAAAAGCACTTTAAAGCTTGAACTCTCTAGTTTTTAGGCACATTAGCTATATTAATACTGTCTTTAATTTTCATTAAGGTTTTTTGAATTAAACGAAAAATGGCGACCGCACAATTTCAAAATTTCACAACTTCATTTATCATTTTCGTCTTTCAATTGAGTTTTCAGAGCGAAAAATTATTTGATTCAAAAATGTGATACAGATGTTTTAAAAAGAAAACAAAACTTTTTACATATGTCAACGTAACGTATTTGTCAACGTAACGTATTTGTCAACGAATGTCGTACACTTGTTTTGTGATTGAATGTACTCGTAAATGCTTTTCTATTTTCAAAGTGATCCGCCTAATTGCGAATCGAAAGATGCTATTTCCAAATTATTCGATTTAATGACAAGTCGCATGCATGATATGCATATCAAGTTAAATTATTTATAACTAAATGAAATTGATAAACTGAAAAGTCAGATCCAAAACAGCACACAATATCCCATGGATATTGTATACCCAAGATGTTTCGTAGACGTCCTGTGGACATCTTTAGAACATTGTGATGTCTTCAGGATATTCTTGGGATATCCTCAGGATGTCTTTAGGAGATTTGTGCTATCTGGGTTCATAATAATGAAAAATGGGCAAATTTTAAAAAGCCACAACTCTAGCAAAAATCATAATTATGTGGTTAAAAAAGCATTTTATAGTTTGAAGTCTCTAATATTCAGTTATATTAGGATTATAAAGTTGTGCTGTCGTTTTTCATTAAGATATATCAATTTAAATGAGAAACGGCGATTGTCCAATTTTTACTCTTATATTATAATTGAATTTTTACATAGACAACTTATTTTTTGAAAAACGTAAAAAGTGAATTTTAAAAAGAAAACTTTTAACTTCCTGCTCATTTTATGACTCATGTGTGGTATATTAATTCATTTAACAATTCATTTAAAAGGATTTATTTTGTTTTAACGTTGAATAACTCAACGAAGAAAAGCCACAATTTACATGTATGCAAATTGTGTATAAAGTATAAAGTTAACTCTTTCAAGCTGTATAAACGATTTTTCCTTTTTTATGCAATATGATCTAGCGTTGGGTCAGATTATTTTTTATATTTTTAAACATATTATCTCTCGGTTTTCACCTTATTTTTCTTCGTTGTTCACTGCGTTAATTTGATATAAGAAATCTAAGATTTTCATTGGCTAAGATTAACATTGGCTAATATAATCAGAGTTATGTATTACAGAAACATTTAATCATGCTGAAGATATATTTACCGCGAATGATTGTCCTTTCAACGTGTTCTCGCGATTGTGGAAACGATACACTAATCCGATTAAGATTCAGTTAAAAGTTCTCTTTTTAAATGAATACTATGTTTATCAACTTCACCAATTAATTTCTTACCGTGAAACGAGACATCGCATCGTCATAAAAAGGTGGTGCAATTCAACAATATTAAATTTTCGGCTCTTCCCGCGATTTAGTACGAAATATGTTGAATCTTTGACAAGCACAAACTTCGTAAACGAAGTAGCTTCAACTGAAATTTTTGTCCAGATTCTCAAAGATCGCACGCAATCGAAAATTTAACACGTTGTTCTATTTTTTTCCTCACCTCTCTTCACAAAGCTTTATATATTTCTCTCGAGTTGTGCGCACTTTTTTTCGCGGAGATGCGACATTCCGTCGTTAAAATCAGGAGGTTCGTGGAGGGGAGAAGAAGGGACGAAAAGACAGGAAATGCAGAAAGAGACTCTCTCCTTCGTTTCTCATATTTATTTGTTATTGCATACTGTTTATGTTAGTATATTACTTAGGTATACGTGCCAAGTAGCAACTTAAATGTATGATTGCGTGTTTTCTTCTGTTTGTTCCACCCGTCAAGCGCGGATAGGTAGGTAGGTAGGTAATGTAACTTGCTTACTCCACTATATATAGGGTGTATTTATAAGTATAGCATACCTCGGTAGAACGTCATCTTACGAGCTAATCGGTAATAAATAAAAGTGAGGCTCGTGGCCGGGTTTTTTTTTTTGGATAAGGGTAGGGTTTGGGCTGAAAGGACGAAGGGAATCCGGGGGTAATCAGGGAATATAGGAGCCGGGTTAATTTAGGGGGATGGGGGAGGGTGGGTGGCTGGATGAGTGTCTGTGGGTGGATGGGGAACGCGTTTTATTTAAATGGGTGAACGATTTCTGCGTTTGCGTCCGTGACTAAAGCAAACCGCGCGCGCGGAGGCATATATCATCCACCACACACGTCCTCTGCCGCGCTCACGAAGTAAAATCGGGGAACGAACGTCGTTTCACGAGTCGTCACGGTTCTATATCGTCCGCGCGCGTTATCAACGCGCGCGCTTTTATCGCGATATACAACTATAATCGGGTACGGGCGACTTATCCGAACAATAAATTGGGCTACCTACGCTGAAAAAAAAAAGAAAGAAATACTTGCCTCTGTGTTTTTTTCTTGTTTTGTGAGTTGCTCTTTTTTTCTCTCTCGCGGGTTATCTCCTCTCAAAAAGGCGCGGGAATTATAATAGAAATGATAGTAACTATAAAATATTGCCGTTTTTCGCCGCCGAGCACGTGCGACGAACATATGCTGTTTGTGATCGCGACGATTCCGCCCGGCCGGCGCACCGTCTCGACGCGAAATCAACCGGAGAAGAGCCGCGTCTTCTCCCCCAATATTCGCGCATGCACGATTTACACGAGCGGAGAGACAACTTCCCGAATCGTTAACGCAACAACAACGATCGTTCGCTGCGGAACTGTGTACCGCTGATAAACTTCTAAATTGCATAATCGGCGAAACGATCCATTAGAAGTTCGTCAGTCGAAATAAATTTCTAAACTATAATTATATCGATATATATATATATATATATATATACCGATATATATAACTGCGATATATATATATATATATACATATATATATATATCGCAGTTCTCTCTCTCTTTCTCTCTCTCTCTCGTCGTGCGCGGGGTCTCTCTCTCCTCTCTCCCTCGTCGTTTCTAAATATAAATCTGTAAACCGTAATCGCGTAAATACTCGCTTAAATACCTTAAACTTTTAAATAGCGTACGGGGTTTCTCTCGTATTCATCTCGTGCGGATAACGAAGACGGCGGTCGGATTGAGAGCAACATTGCCGAAACACGCGACGTTGACGACTACGCGCAGAAAATGCGGTCTCGTCCGGAAGAGAATTGGCGGAAAGACATCCGGTAGCGACGTGAAATTGTTCGAACATTTACCTTCGATCGTGTTGCGGAACGTATCGATCGAGCCGTTCTGAATCGTCAACAAAATGAATTCCGTCATTCGCGGACGTCGCGTGTTTCACTTTCACGGTCGATCGAGACGATGCCGAGGTGGAAGCTTCAGGGCTCACCGGCGACTCGCACAAAAACACTTTCGGAAAGGGAAAGAGAGCTCTTTTCCTTTTATCTTTTTTATTTCTTTCCCTTTCGAAAGGCGCCTCTCTCGGCGGATTTCGCCCTGGTGCCTCCGACCGACGGGGCGGAAGGATCAAAACAAAATCCGAATCTTAGGCTACTTAAACGGGATCTCAACGAGAACTCCGAAATAAATATGTTACATGTTACAGTGATAACGATGAATCTTGCCGTACATACTGCTCCTCTTATTTACAGTAAAGACAAACAATCTCGTGTGTCCCCACGTTCTCTCGACTTCTCGATGTGTATATGTAATGACGCATGTAATGAGTACATGTACACATGTGTGTGTGTGTGTGTGTGTGTATTCACGTTTCTATGTACGTATGTATACATATGTTAGAGTACGAATGTATTTTTTTATTCGGGCTCGTGTGTGCGATTAAATAACCGGGTTCTGAAAAGTGTGCGATCCTATTGCACGACTAATAGTCTTCGCGAAATGAAAGATGCCACATCTAAATTGTCCCTTAAACGTTAACTATCGTAGAGAAAACGGAAATGCGGCGTGTGTATCATCGTGCGGCCGCGCACGACGCGCGCACTCGCTGGAGAAGTACGATCTCGCGCGCGAGACCGACCAGAATGGTGTCCTCCGTGGGAAGCGCGCGTCGTCGTCGGCACGCGTCCTGTAAACTAGTCGTAAATCGTGTGGTACGGAGACTACTATGCTTTTGTTATAGTCGGCTGTCGTTCGCTGTGCAACTCGTTCGCTCGCTCGCTCGCTCGCTCGTTCGTTCGTTCGTTTGTTCGTTCGTTCGTTCGTTCGTTCGTTCTCTCTCTCTCTCTCTCTCTCTCTCTCTCTCTCTCGCTCCCTTTCTCTCTGTCTTTCTTCTTCTCTCGCATAATTTTATTTTTCCTTCTTCCTAACCGCGGCAATAACGATATCAATCAAAGGAAAGAGATTTTTTCACGTGCGTGAAAACGAAAGCACTCGCCGATCATTCGGTGGTCTCTACATGCGTGTGATTTGAAACTCCTGGACGAGAGCGGTCCCGCGTATCGACGGTCTATCGTGGTCTCTCGCAACCCGTTGAGTCGAAAATGTTGCGACCGTTTTCCGGACGATATTTTCCGTACGAGGCCAGTATCAACGCGCGATAATGAATTTGAATCTCAACGAGCCGCCGCGTTGCGTTTCGGGATAAATGTACGCGAAGTCCGCGAAATTGGGTGCGTGTTGGCGATTCCGACGCGATATCGTGATTTTTGCGGGAACGAAGGAGATGAATCGTCTACGCGTAAAAGTGTGCGTAATGTCGATAAACGGGACGCGCGTGTCCGTGAGCGTAACTGGGTTCTCTTCTCTTCTCTCTCTCTCTCTCTCTCTCCCTCGTTCTCTCTAAAGTAGCGCCAAAGTCACGCACATCCGTCCTTCTTGTCGACCCGATAAAAACCCTACGGGTTACTTTGTCTTCTCGATTCTAAAGCCTCCAGCGTCGCCTACATCGCAAAACTCTCCTCGTGAACTTTTGTTTCGTCCTCGACGACGTTTGGAAAAGAACCGCGGCCCCTCTCTCTTTCTCTCTCTTTCTCTCTCATTTTCTCTCTTTCATTCTCTCTTTCTTACGCTCTCATTCTCTCTCTTTCTCACACTCTCTCTCTCTCTCTTTTTCTAACGCAATAAACGCACTCAGCCAGTATAACCCTACAGCATCAATATATCAATTTTTTATATTTATATATATATATTTATATTTATATATATATAATATACTTTTTTCTCATATATATATTCACTTTGTGTTCTATATCAATAATAGCGTATTAGATGCTTTTTTGTTCACTTACGTCTTAGGTATGTAATATAGGTATTTCTTTTTTTTATCATCTGTTCACAGATACATATATGTATATATCAAAACGTGGAAACGAAAAGGTCCTCTCGAAATAGCCGTTCTCCTGTGTCGGTCAGCTGTGTTTCTCTTTCATCTTTTTATTTTATTTTTTTATTCTCCTACGCGCACTCTCTCTCTCTCTCTCGCTCGTTCGCTCGCTCTCTTTCTTTCGTTCTCTCTCTTTCTCCCTCACTTTCTCTCCTTCTATTTATTAGTTCGTCAACTCTGTTTGCTCTGCCGGGAAATCAAGAAGGAAAACATCTCGAGAATATGCCATTCAGGGTATTACCTGTGTGGATTGATCCAAAACACAAATTTTGTCGGGTAGTTTGTTGCTTCGGACACTCATTCAACACGCACACAGACGTTCGTAGACACATTGCGTATTCGACACTCATGAAGGAGAGGAGTTCGCCGGGTTAACCGAATATTTCACTCGTCTCGCGGTCATTTTTTTTGCTTCCTTGTTTTTCTTTTTTTGGCGAAACAATTGTACAATTCAACAATTTCGAAAAGAGAACCCTTTTCCGCCAACAATCCGGAGAAACGATCGTAAAGATATCCAGCTAGAAACCGCGTGATCGCGAATTTCGATATCGATCTTGATGTTTTGATCTTCCGAGATGAAACATATAATAAATAATTAGGCGTGCTCTTGTGCTATTGTGCAACTTGAACAAAAATTAAAAAGAAGCCTGAATCGCAAAAATATGAGAAGTCTCCTTTCCTAAAATCATTAATTTAACTTCACGCCGGACGTTTAATCAGGAATAAAGACGATTTATTGCGAATGTGCCGTAGGAATATATGAAAAGATCGTTAAAAATAGGAAAGAAAGGATAAACGACATGTCGATTTACGCAACGTATTTACAAACATGATCTCACGAATAATACATTCAGCAGAATTTCGAATGACTTCTTCGTCGCTTAGTCAAGTGGTCACGGTCTACGGGACACTTAAATTTTTTTTTTGGAAGGCACTTACTACTTTTTTTCTTTTTATACAATATTTAATTTTAAATTTCTTTCGCATTCGCTCTCTTCCCCACGCTCTCGCGACCTCGTATTCTCTCTCTCTCTCTCTCTCTCTCTCTCTTTCTCTCTTTCTTTCTCTCTGTCTTTCTCACTTTCTCACTCTCTCTTTCTCTCTCCTTTTCTCTCTTGCACCTCGCAATTTCTCGCGATTCGGTTCGTACTTCTTCTGCTGCTACTAAATTTTAGCCCTCCCCGTCGTATTCGCGTGAAAACCTCCCTTTCTCAACACTTTTTTTCCTCATTTTGCCGCCGCACGTCTCGCGCGAATTTACCTTTTTCCCCGTTGAACACATTATGCCTAAATGGTAATTAGAACTCGCGCTTTCCGATTTTCCGCCGAAATGAAAAACGTGGTCGATCGAGTTTTATATTGCAACGCGTATACTAATAAATCGCCGTCTAACGTCGCCTCGCGATCACCGTCGCGTTTTCGCACAAAAGTCGCTTGTATCAAGAATAACGTGTTATTATTTTTTTTCTTCTTTTTTTATTTTCTCTTTCCCGTTTTTTGGTTTGCCCGATGTTTCGTTTTCCTAATCGCCCCGATACGTGCTACGAACGCGCGATCCACCCTTCCTTCCTCTTCTCTCCTCCACCGATACCGGAAATGTTCTGGCTGCATGAGCGTGGCGCGAGAATCAATTTTTCCCTCCTGCATTTTCTTGTTTCTTTTCTTTCTTTTTTTTTTAAACCCACTCTCCCCGTAAAGTTTTCCAGACAAACGGATAACACGGATGGCTCGTTACGCAAAAGCCTCGTACGAGCAAAAGCGAAAAGCGATGATCTTTCCCTTTCACCGAAGGCCACTTCGAAAAATTTTTTTGTTTACTTTTTACACTTACAAGGAGTCTCTTTCTCTCGCACGCATGCACGCACGCACGCACGCACTCTCACTCGCATTCTCTCCTCTCACTTTCTCCCGAACCAGCGTGCCGACATTTGCGACGAATAGATCAAATTGGCCGAAAGAATCGGTATGTTGTTTTCGCACTTACGCAAAAAGGTATCCTTACGTTAAACCAAATCCAAAGATTAATCGAATTTAACGAAGAAGATCGATCACAAACGGCAATGAATCTCGGTGAAGTCTTTCGGTAGAAATAAATTTTGTCCGACTCTGGTCTTAATGAAAATTCAACGTTATCTAGAATTCCTGGATTTAACATCGGTCGGCACTCGGGTTGTTCTTCGATTGTCGAGGACTCGAGGTCCCTTTGCGAAATCACGCGCGACTTGCACAATTTTGAAAAATAGCACGATCTTCCGAAAGAAGAACACACGCACGCAAATCTCTTTCGCTCTTTCCATTTTCGCTCTGTATCTTTCTTTTCCTTTCTCTCTTTCTCTCTCTCTCTCTCTCTCTCTCTCTCTCACATTCTCCGCCTCACATTCATCGACATTTGCGCGTCCAGGCTCGCGTTCAGATTCGCACGTTCAGGCTCGCATTCAGGTTCACAATCTCGCACCGATGCACACTTCGTGGTCGCCGAACTCACCAAAATTTCGACACGGTTTCGTGTCGCCACAGTTTCTCGTCCCCTAATCCCTAAACCTTATAATTTTTATACTTGGCATACCCCAAATATGGCAGGAAGGCAATCATTATACTTAATAACGTACAGCGATCATCTCGGCCTAGAGTGTGCTCGCTTTTATAAGCCGTTAAATTTGTTTCCACCGTCTTATACTTTGTCATAACTTCTTCTCTCTCTCGCTCCCCTTTTCCCTCTCTCTCTCTCTCTCTCTCTCTCTCTCTCTCTCTCTCTCACTCACTCTCTTTCTCTCTTTCTCTCTCCCTTTCTCTTTCGCTCTTTAATCTTCTTTTTGCTTGTTTGTTTCTTGGTAGACAGTCATAATGAATTTTGTACATCTCCCTTACTTATCGAGCTTAGATCAGTGACGTCGCTTACTGCCTCGCGTTAGAAGGATCGCGCTCTTACGCAAAGTGCCGTGCACAGATTCGAGATTCTACATCCTGTCGAGACTCACGTTGAAATTTACGACGCATGAAATTTACTCTTTCTCTGTAAGACGTGTGTTCAACGAAAAAAAGAAAGGGACAAGAAATATTTCCATCGTCGAGACAACTTAGAGCGGCATTTGTCCCCTTGAAATAATTCAATGTATAAAAAATCAAAGTAACATTTATCAGAGTAAGATCGATACCACTGAGACCAAGATTTATGTTTTAAGAAGTATTTACCGAGAAATCAACATTATCTTGCAATGTTGACAAATGTTTAAATTATTTTCATAATCATTAACAGAAAAGGAATTGTTTTAACTACTGAAAAAGGATTCAGAGCGAACCCCTGCGACGTCCAAAAATTGGGACGAAGTGAATGTGATGAAGTGATCTACACGGCACGTCGTGTAAGGACTCGACAGTACGGGCGAGTAGCTCTGGCTCGTGGCGTGGCTTGCTTTCTCGTCGGCACCCGTCCCGAGTAATCGATCATTAATCGGCAGTAGGCGACCTCTTACGAGTTATTATACATTTGGCATTAAAAGTACAGTTATCGTATATGCGTAGGTATAAATTTTTTTCGAGTTGTAAGTATCCTGTATGCGGCGCGCTCGTGTACATATGTGTGCATGTAGCTGTATGTGTGTCTGTATATGTGTCTCTGTTTGCTGTCGTGTATATATACGTGCGCTCATGTGTGGCGTGTGAGTTTTTACCTTTATTACATGTACATAGTCCGTACGACACGACGATGACACGACTATCTAGATTGGAAAAAGGTAGCGGCGCTCGCGAGGCGCCGGCGACCCAATAGCTATATTACGTTTGCTAGAAGAAGGTTTTACTCTCTCTTTCTCTCTATCTCGCTCTCTATCCTCTCTCTGTCACTCTTTCCTTTTCTTCTTTCCTACCGAAGGATCGACCGAGCGATCTTCGCCTAGAATAATCCACGATCGCTCGCTCGCCCTTCTCTTAGAAACTCGGAGCCAGGCGAGACGAGTTTGAGACGCTCTCAACACTCGCTTGTCTCATCTGCGTCCTCCTCTTTCTCTCTCTCTCTCTCTCTCTCTCTTTTCTCCCCCCCCCTCCCCCTCTCTCCTTCTCTCTCTATTTCTCCCTGTGTATGTCTCCTTTAGGTTTTTTGATTGTAAGCCTCTCTATCTCTCTCTCTCTCTCTCTCTTTCTCTCCCTCTCTTTCACGCTTTCTTTCTAACATCTCTCTTAACATACTCGTATGCACAGTACATCGCGCTCGTGTACAACGTTCGGAGTCGCGTGTATATATACTATAAACTCCCGCGAGGAGGTGTCGACGAGTGAGCGATAGGGGCTCGACACTTCCGCGGGAAGAAGCATCGGGTCGGTTCTCTCACTCTCACCCTCTCTCTCTCTCTCTCCCTTTCTCTCTTTATATCTCTATATTTCTCCCTCTCCCCGTCCAACGACCTCGAAGAGAGGGAGGTTTTCCTCGGGGTCATCGAGCGTCGGAACACTGACGCTCACACGTCGTCGGCCGGCGATTCTCCCACGGCGACAGCGACGCCGAGGAATGCACCGTCTTCTTCGTCGTCGTCGTCGTCGTTCTTTCCGCACCTACCGCCGCCGTGATGGCTTACTATTCGCAGCGCGAGTCCGTGAGCGGCTCGAGCTTCACCGGGATCTTGTCCTTGTCCTTGAGACCGTGAGGACTCTTGACCAGGTCAGCGATGTCCTCCTGGAAGAGATTCTCGGGCCGCGGGCTGACGAAGCTCCGCGCCGGCTTATACGTCATACCGCTCACGCCGATGCCGACCTCCACGCTGCTCGGTATGTGACCCGGGTCCATCAGCGGGCCTAGCGGGCTCGCCAGCGGGCTCTCCATCGGGCTCTCCGGCGGTCCACCCGAGCCCGGGCTCGCCAGGCCGAGATTCAACGGGGAGTTGCCGTTGTTGTTGCCGGGACCGACGCCGGCGCCGCCGTTGTTGCTGCCGCCGATGATGCTCGCGTTGCTGCCACTGTTGTTATTGTTATTGTGATGTTGGCTAGCCTGCATCGCCGCCTGCAGGTTCGACGACAGGCTGGTGGACAGGCTCGTCGACAGGTTCGTTGCCATCATGTCGTGCTGTTGCGAGTGCGCCGCCGCAACCATGCTGCACATCTGATGCCGCAGACCTGGTTGACGGAGGAGGAATCGGTCGGTGGAGAAATTAGAATGTCAGGGTAAAAAGTGGCTTAAGATAGCTCAGGTGGCTTTGTGAAGATTGCGACGGAACGCGCAAAGTAAACGTTTCCGAACGAGACTTCGATATAAAGCTCGCTCGGTATCGAGGAGGAAGGATAATAGAAAGACGCACGATATGCAAAATTCTCTCTTGGCTGTGACAGTTCGTGGTAGGTACAATGTGAACGTAACAGGTGGAGAATCGTTCGGTCTATTTAAACAAAGGATATTTCACTAATTTCATTCTCACTTGACCGATCAATCTTCGCTCGACAATTCCCCGATCATTACTTTCCCATCTGTCGACGGTCCACTTCAGTTCGAGATAAGCTAAATTTCCTCCAAAGCTAATGTAAGCTAAGCTTTAATAAAATTTTAACGTTTACCAGGCCAAGACTCGCTGATCCTTATTCTATTCATTCCCATCGTATCAGGATATAATATGATACAAAATACGATACAATGTGATATAATATAATATGATACGATACGATATTATTTCTTGATTGATACGTGATAGAATATAATACGATGTGCAATATGATAGATATTGTATGTCAAGCTATCGAAATGACAGATTAGTCGAATAATCAATAGTCATAATGTATACGCATATCCGTACATGATGCGAACGATTAGAAAGACTAGCGAGCTTTAGCTTAATAAATGTTCAAGCTTCACGCAGCTTTGAGCACAGATACTCCGAACGATGGGAGGAATTATCGCTCGCGACAGTCGCATTTCTCTTTGATTCGCTCATACCGCTGGAAGAAAAGAATTCTACATTCAAATAAATATTTGCTAAGGAATATCGGAGAAATTGGAGTAACTCCAATACACTTAGCAAATATTCACTTGAATGTAGATGTTTTTTCCTTTCAGTGTCATTTATTCAATTTATTCAATTCTTATTCAATCGTTCCATTAAGTCACTCGTCCCTCTCATTGAAATAATGAACGTGAACGAGAAGTATCCGTCATGTTCCGTCACTTTCTCACATCCACCTTAGACGAAATACAATGTGCGCGCCAGTTACCTTGAGCAACCGCCGCGACCGCGGCTGCGGCCGCCGCGCCGGGACTGACCGCGCCTTCCGGACCGTTGCAGGCCGCGTAGTTCGCCAGGCTCGGGTACATCGTGGTCGGCTCCTCCTTGACGATGTGCGGCGAGTGCCCGTCGCGGAACACCACCGCGCGAATCACGCCGCGGATGTGCTCGTCTGGCCAGACGCCTAGGAGGATCCTCTGCGGTCTTCCTCTTCCCTTCGGGCGCAGATCTACAGGTGGAATGCAAACGGGCGGGTGGGAAAGCGGGTGAAAGGGACGATGAAGAAGAAGGTGCGGGTGGAAGAAGAGAAAGAATTCGTTTCACTGCGAGTCGGCTCTGCAATCGTGTATTGTTTGGGAAGGCCCGCCGCTACTCGTTCACCTCGCGATATTTCACGACGATCTTCGCCGATTTCTCGCTTCGATAACGCTCAAACACGCGATTTCTCGCCGTGGAATCGGAATTCGGTGGACTCGCGAATGCGCGCGCGAGATCGCCGACGAAGCTCTTGGATCGCGTCTCCGCGAACGGAGGTACGTCTGGCGCGCGACGAGAGGGGTCCGATTCTTATTCGAGAGAGATATTCGATGTTGAATTTTCTTTCATTTGGAATTCTTTTCATTCCGATGCTTTCTCACACGTGGTTTCCACCACGTGGTCGATCGCGTGCGTATGTCCGCCCTTACGTTTCATTTTTTTATTTTATACATAGTAAACAATTTTGTGTTGAACAATTTTGTGATATAATTTATAGATTCATAATAAATAAAATGATTAAAATTAATTTAGAAAGGAACATAAAGATATATTAATACACTCAACATATATTGATAAGGTGAATGTGTTAATTTATCATTGTATTTGTGTACTTTTGACATAGTCCCCATATTAAAGTAACATCAAATTTCAGTGGATCGTTTTCAACACAAAATTTTGTTTACTGTGTAGACACACAACGCCGATTTATAGATCTTCTACAGAGATTAAAGATTTTCGTAATATACACTGAGAGAGAAAATTGCTAATCTCGCTACAAATTATAGTCTTTTTCGGTGTCAGCTATATTTTCCCGTCGTTCTAATTAAAAATGTGAAATTATTATCAACGACGGTAATAATATCATTTACTAGAAAAATGAACGACTAAAATCATCTCATCATGCAATTAACGGTCACAAATATCACTTTTCACTCAGAATAAATCTTCGATCGAAGAGAAGCTCTCGCAAAAAGATGACAAATTTATGCACACATCCCGAGCTCTATGAATCATCCACTTATGTCGCATGTCTAACGTCAAACGCGACAGCCGCTCTTCCTAACCCACATCGGTCGTATCAAATGCGATCTTCATATTAGATCGCGGTAGATCACGCTGTTAATTAATCGCGAGATCAGACAGTCGTATTTACCGCCGAAGGCTGTATTAAACCGCGCCGCGAGCGCGACCGAGCGGAGACAGCTTCCGAGGAAAACTAGACAATCGAGTTTCCGTCAACTCGAACGTCCGACGAAAGTGCGTTCGAACGAAAAAAAGCCGTTCGATGCGTACGATATTGCACGAAGGGTGTGACGCGTTAATGAAGCGGTAGACGTCTAAGTAAACGTCGTCGGGGTGAAAAGTCCGGCTGTAACCGCGCCGGTATAATTGCATGGTGTAATTGCGACTTTTACGAGCGCGACCGGGTCTTCGGATCGGTTCTTCTCGATTAGCCGTAGCTTAGCTATTTACAATTGGCCACATCGTCGCGGTCCGTCGGGCGAGTCCTCGCGCGCAGCCAACTCGGGTCCTGAGAACACCTCAGGGGCAACGATCGGACATCAAGCGAGAACGCGCGCATTCAGACTTGTATTTATGGTGAATACATTCTCGATATCGCGTTCATGTCCAACATTTCGTCAATATCTCGAATCGTGTAGCCGAGAATCGTGACGAAACGAGCGAAACAATTAGTGGTGAATTGTGGAAGGGTGGAAACTGCTTGTTGAAATTAGGAGAACGAAATTAGAAGAAGAAATCGGAAACGTAAATGAAACAATGCGCAGTAATAGAGAGCGATCAAATTTCTCGTTCGTTTGGAAAATAAAATTGCGGAAAATACAAGTTCGAGTGTCGTAAGACTCGGGAATATTAACCGTTTAATTAAGAAACGCAGGATAAATTATGATAATCAGACATCAGCTCTCTTTTTCTCTCCCGAAAGCGCGTAGATTTACGACTTTTTTTCCTCTCACGATGAGAAAGAATTTTCTCTCGCAGTGTCTCTTCACTCGGTCGCATTTTCGTCGTATAAACGATATAAAAAAAAATTCCCTTTCCGTATTATTAAAGAAAATTAAAATCGTCTGCGAGAATGCGAGGAGATATAAAATATAAAAGATACGTCTCCACAATCCAACTTTATCACCCCTTGCACGAATTTTCCTTTTATCGCTTTCCCTTCACGCGTCTTGATTGTGCACGATTCTACTTTCCTCCCGTTCCTCAGAGGCGCGCGTGACAGTTCCGTGACGATTTCAGTCTCTGAACGAGCCATCATATGATTCTCCGCCAGTCGTTTTCTGCACCTCTCTCTCTCTCTCTCTCTCTCTCTCTCTCTCTATATATATATATATATATATATACGAAATATACGATTGACAATTTCATATACTGAATAGCACTGACATGCCTAATATCATGTTTTTTCTCTATCAATAGTCAAATAAATCACGAAAAGGTTGATTAATTTCTTTACAAAAGATTAAAATTGTCTAAATTATTTATACCAGAACCTTTTTGCACTAACTTACAATATTACAAAAATATTGTAAAAACATTATAATTTTAATTATTGCATTTTTAAATCACGTTTGAGAGCAACCAGAATGTAGAATACATAATGCTATCTCTCTCTTTCTCTCTCTCTCTCTATCCTCGTTTCGTCGTTTCGTCGAGACCCCTTCTCGATATTTCCGGCGCTAATAATTCGTCCTCGGCGCTCTGCGCTGTCGGTCGTGCGATCTCGCCGTTGTCATTGAGCAACGCATCGTAATCGAGGAGCGGAGGCGTTCTCGGAGGATACTGAAACTGGCAACTAACACTCACCGGCCCCGCCGTCGGCACTAGGACCCAGCATGTTGTGCACTCGATTCGCGTATAGGACAAACGTCGGATAGGGGATGTCGTACTTCCTGAAAGGGAGAAATCGAACGTGTTAGCATGCGACTTGGTCCAGCTCGTGATTTGCGTCGGTGCGCTAAGACGCCATATATCGCGTTTCTTATTCTACTTTATCTCGCGTTTCGGCATGCGTTTTATTTTCCCACGTGTGTACGCGTATGTGCGTGCGTGTCTACATTCACACGCCACGCGCGTGCCGTCTTATTCTACTTTAATTTATATTAATTCCGGCGTATCCCGTGCACGAAATGAAAGATTCAACGAGGCGTGTTTGAATGCATGGTAATGGAAATTACGCAACGCGCCTCACGAAATTATGCAACCGCCCGGGAAAATACTGACGATGATGACACGGTGCATTTAGCAAAATAACGCAGTGCGCCGTCGCGATGGATAAGTAATGAGGCTCGCTTGTCTTATACTTTATACTTATATAATTACTCGTTACTGTGTCCTCCCCCCCCCTCCCCCCCCGGTCGAAATATATCAACGTACTTAACGGTCGTGATTAAGAAGCGATGCGCAACTTGCACGCTCTCTTTACGCGCGTGCACCGTACGTATGCGATCGATGATATATCGCCGAGTGGGAATCGTACATTCAAAATCGCACACGGCAAGTCGTATTATTATCGATCGTCGAATCGATTATCATAAAAAATTATCGCTCATAAAGTCGCGCTTTAACCCGGTACTGCTTAGCGCCCGAATTAAAAGAAATCTCTTTAACGGCGAGCGCCGTAGTTACACAAACGCGATACACGGTGTTTTACGACTCGATCGCAAAATGATTTTAAAGCGGCCGCTTTGAGTAGCAGATCGGACGATTATTTCGCGTGATTCAGATACGGCGATAAGGTATGCCTGATGCGGTGATTTTCCCGGAATTCTTCATTGCGTAATAACCCAGCTCTATTGTACGCGCCGCATCATAAGACATTTATATAACAATTTTAACTATTTATCCGCGCTGCATTGCGTGGGTCCGTGGCGCGGAGGAGGAGGAGAAGGAGGAGAAGGAGGACGAGGAGGAGGAAACAACAGCGGCATAAACTCGAATAAAGTATTTATCTTTTGTGCGTATCATTTATCAACGTATCAACGACACAAGAACGGAGTAGACCTCTCTCATGGCGAGGCGAACTCTTGGGATAAGCAATTGAAATAATTTTTTAATTTTTATATTAACGCATTTCATCACTCGTTATTAATATTGAATGTCGCACAAGCGGGTGCGCGCGCGCGCGTACGAAAATATTACATATCGTGACTGTACCGTGTGGGGTCTATTATTAATTTTATTATTGGATCCGTGCTGAATACGGCGGTATACGGAAAATGATTGCGACTAAGTTAATTATTTTTTTAGCACACGTCGGGGCATTTCGATATATTTTTTTTTAAAGTAAAACGCGCTTTATAACGTTCGGTAATATATACACACATACACACACGTGCACACACGTATGCACGCGCATATGTTAATATTATATATAAAATAACGAAAAACAAGCGCAATTAAATGAAATAAATAATTTTTGTAAAAGTCGGGTCGGGTGGCGAGCGTAGAAATATTTTTAAAGATTGATGCATTTTATCGATTAATATTAATGTTGCACGTGACGTACAGGTTATTCCGTTTTTTAATCGATTGGCTTGGTTATTTTCAACAACGTTTTTCATCGTTTTAAACTCGATAATGCCAAAGCATTCGTGTATCCTCCATCTAATTTATAACTCCGAAAGTAGGTTTTCGCAGGTCTAATTCCACGCGTAGAAAGCGATATTACGACTGCGATATTACGACATTCAGAATATCAATGCAGATATAATTAATTTGACTGTATTCGGTGTTACCAGACCTATCTATTAGATCTGTCTACCAAAAAGTTTGATTTGATTTTTGAGTTAAACTTAACTTTATTGCATTTATATAGAAACAAATTCGTAGAATCTTCGTAGAAAGTGGCCGGACTATCGATCAAAGTTAAATTAAGTTTATTACAATTTTTTCGACCGGAAAACCTGAACCTTTCGTTCCGATCCGATACATTATCATACACACCGAGTTACACCGAGTTGCACAACCATTAAGAGAACAACGTACCTTGCCGCTTGGCTGAGCGAGAGCCCTTCCTTCAAGACGCTAAAGATCGCCTCCGCCATAGTCTCGGGCCGCCAGGACTTGAGAGGTCCGCGTTCCCGGAAGCGCAGGTTGTGCACCAGACTCTGGTTGGTGTTCCAGCACTTCTGCCACATGGACTGCAGCTGGTACTGGTAGCTGTCTGCTAGTTAACGCCCCCCGTGGAAAAGAGAAAACACAGAAAGGCAGCTATTAGTGAGGTCGTTCGATCAGGTCAGGGGGGGATTCGAGGGAGACTCAAGGGGGAGAGGAAATGAATGAATGAATGCACATCGCGTTCTCTTACTGTCGCATGACTTTTCCCTTTTATTGATCGATCGTCCGTCGCGCGCGCGGAGCGCGCATCGAGAACGCGCCTTCTCGGGAATCTCACTGTAATGTGTCCGGCTCCGATCGATCGATCGTTCGATCGTTCGTTCGTTCGATCGAGGTCAAAACGGAATAGTCGCGAACGCACGCGTGCGCTTCGGCGATTGAGCGGATTCCGCGTGCAGTTTCTCGCGCCGAATCGATACACGGTCTCGATGCACAGGTGCATCTACCGTTTATACCTTGGGCGTAGGCGGAGTCACCTGGAAAACGGCGCTTAAGGAAGACAGGTGTTTGAGCGCGTTTGTTTGTGTGCGTGTGTCTATGTGTGTGCGCGCGCATGTGAGCGGACGTGTTGGCGAAGTAAAGTTCTAAGGAATACGAGCGTAAACGCAAATATCGATTGTATTGCCGCACGGTCGTACAATTGTTACAGAACTCGCTGAGCTCGCCCCGCTTCGTTAACGGAGCGAGCATAACGGTTAACGGTGTGCGCGCACGCGCCTCTGTTGTTACTTAATATTAAGCGTAAAACGCGCAATTATTGCGGGTGTGTGACTGCCTGAGTCGAAATTTCACATCATTATTTCAGTCATAATTCCGGTATGGTCCGACATTACACAATTTTGCGGCAATTTTTACTACAATATTTTCTTCGCGTACGTTAAGTTTACTTAGTTCTACGTTAAATCTTCAATCGGAGAAAACGGAAATAACTTCCCTCCGACATGTAGCGTCAAAGGGAGCACAATAGGAGACCTTTGAAGACTCAATGTAGAACTGAGTAGACTTAATATAGAACTGAAATTTCGACTCGAAAAGCCATCGTTATCTTAAGACATCGCGCGAAATCTCGTGCGAATGACGCGCTTCGCGGGCGCGAATTTCAAGGTTCGCACATCCCGCACTCGGCGAGTACAATAATTATCGTCGGATATCGTGTTGAAGGAATGTGCAACGTTATGTACAGAGTGATATTCGCAGTCTTGATCGCGACGACTCGGTGAAAAGTAAATTGCGTTTCGCTTAACCTCCGCTAATCGTTTTACATATTTCGAAAATATGAGATTTCGAGAAATGCAATATTGCAAAGTGGCACACGACGCGAGAACGGATTTTCCTCATGACCTGCGATCGATTTATCTCGATATATCTCTGTGCGTTCGCGAAATCTCGCGACAAAGGGAGCTCCGTATTACTCGACGCACCGTTGATTCTTCACACGCGGCCGAGATTCTCGCGCGAGTATTTCACGTGACAGAGTATTCTCGTTTCAACGTCGCGCGCCTATGTGCGTATGTGTGCGTACGGCGAATCAATCGAAAAGATCCTCGAATTCGAAATCCACCGGGGAACATTCGTGAGATAAAACGCGGCGGCGAGCGAGAGAAGCGTCCGGCGGCGACGTTCGCCGTAACTTCCGCGCGCTCGCACGTATGGCACAGTCGGCCTCAATTCGCAACGATTATTTAATAGTTAAGTTATTGGCTCTAATTAAGGCTCCTCACCAATTTGACGATTAATACAATTCATCGGAAAACGCGCGCGCGCGCGCGCTGCCGCTTCTATCGTCTATTTTTAGAGTCGCGTTCAGCGCCAAACGCGGTCGAACCTCCTCGTTCCGCCTTAATTGTCCTACAAATATTCGACGATGGACGAGGTCTCGTTCCGAGTCGAAATTTTGGTCCCACGTTAAATCTTTCATTCTACAACATAGTAAGAATTAAGATAACAAAATGGAGATTCGCAATTTCAATTCTAACAATATAATATAACACTGATGATGTCTTAAATTTCTTATATCGTCTCAAATTTCCGTTTCTTTCACTATTTTAGCGTCAAAATAAAGGTTGTCGTAGGTAGCATTAAAATTAAAGATTCAAAAGAGAAGTTAAGAAGTGTCAGTATCAAGTAGATTTCCATTAGTTCGCAAGCCCTCTAAAGTAGACGCAAGCTATCCTTAAGAGCAACATCCAAATTTCGACTCGAGGTGCCCCGTTGAATTTCAACGCAGCTGTTTCGTACAGGATTGCGTTTGGCGCAATTTCCGAACGGAACGCGAGAAGTGGGAGGTGGACCTCGGAAAAACTCACGCGACGTCGCGCTCGATTCGAAGGAAGGCACTAAGTACATTTTTGCTCCGCGGTCTGCCGTCGACGTAACGACCGCGGAGGAATTATAACGAATCACAATCTGCTCGGCCCCGACGTGACGGGATTTTCCCACACGAGCCCTCGAGACTTGACGGGCCGTATAGGATCACTTTTATCGCGCCCCTCACGACGGTTCTATCAATGCGTCCTTGCTACCGAGGACCCGATCGCGTGGATTCCGCGGGACATTTTATACTTTGTTCAACGAGATTATCTACGCGGTAGCACCATCATAACGCGGCCGGTTTACGGCCGCCGCGAGATATCGTCCTTACTTTCGATACTTTATCGGGGAATGTCGCGCGCCTATTTTAATACCGCTCATTCACACTTAATTTTCCCTTCTCGCACCCTCTTTCTCTGTCTTTTTTTCCCCTCTCTTTCTCTTTCTGTCTCTCTTTTACTCTCTCGCTCTCGCTTCCTCTCTCCTTTCTCTCTACCTTTTTTCTCACCCGTTCCCAAGCACACTTTGCTGCACTCGGCGTGTCGCACTTTTAGCGAACGCGATAACACCAGTATAATATTACATCGTTCTCGCCGGGATTCAATTAACGCGCCGCTCGTAAATACGCGCTGTATAAGCCTCCGGGACGACGATCGACGATAATGTGACGCGAAGTACGCCAACGCGAAGAAGAACAAGAACAAGAAAAAGAAGAAGAAGGAGGAGGAGGAGAAGGAGGATGAGAACAAGAAGAGGAAGGAGAAGAGAAAGAGAAAAAGAATAAGAACGAGCAGAGGAAGAAGAAAGCTGCGCTTTACGCGAATTTTGAAGCGAGTTCGCGAACGTGCGACAATAACGCGCACGTACGTTTAGACGGCGGTCCGAAGGAAATCGCTCGACATATAGAATTTGACTGAATATTTCGCCGCGCTGACAGTCAACAACTCCGGCATGGAATTGTAACGACGGTCGCAACGACGATGAGTCAACGTGTGTCGTTTTCACGACAAGATTGCCACGCCGGAATGCGTTTCGTCTCTGAAACCCGACTCGCGACTTACCGAGCGGTGCGGAGCGCGTCCGGAGTCGCGGACGACGGTACGTCCTCCGGGAAAGACCGTCGAAAGCAATCGAGAGCGAGAGTTCCGACGTTAATTGCCGCGTGTTAATCGATAATTGCCGTCACATTGCTCATTGCTGCGGCGATAATCGGCGGAGCACGTCTCGCTGGATAATTGACGCAAGAAAAAGCGGTCTAAACGTGTCCTATTAACGCGGCTCCGTCCTCTTCCCCGCGCGCGCGAGTAATGTAATCGAGTCATTTTTCTCACGCGGAGTGACAGTAACACCGATCGAAGCATCGCGTTCTCAGCAAGTGCGACACGCTCCGAAGCGCCGAAGTAATTTAATACCATTCGTACTCCTCGCCGTCGTCGTCATACTTGTTACGTTCGAGTATTACCATCGCGCGTTACAGAGCGGAGTATCTCGCGATAACAGCGGGTGAGCTAAACGCACGAAGGGAAGGTACGCGATCGTTCTTCGCGCAAAGTGTGCTCAGGGCTGCCCCTCGTCCTTCGTCGCAGTATCGTCTCGGAATCGCGGTGTCGGGGCGTAATTCGAGTTTAATCGCGAGCGGATTTCATGCGCATTTTCCCGCGGGGGAAGTCGCCGAGTATTTTATCTCTTTTCTTCTTCTTTTCTACTTTTCACACGAAGGAACGCGAGATCTTGGGCTGGCCGCAGTGGCCGAATGATAATTCGCCGTTATCAAGAACCGACGACGAGTTCGCCGGCGAGTCGCGTGCGGATTCGCGACCGATGTATATTTAGACGCGCGCGGCCCTTTCGCAGCTTCGTTCACCGCTTCGCTCCACTTTCGTTGCGTTTATTGGCGAGCGAGTCACGCGCATGTTCGCGCGTTATACTCGCCGAGCTCGTATTATTTATGCGGCTATTAAACAAGCGACATCTCGCGTACGTCTTTCTCCCTGTCTTTCTTCCTCTCTCTCTCTCTCTGTCTTTCTCTGCTTAAGTTCCAAGTAATGCGCCGCGCTGATGATATATAATATTGTTCAAGCGCTCGCCACAGCTTCATTAAACATTATCGCGCCGCTTAGTCGAGAGGGTGTGATAGAAATTAATAACTCACCGAACGAGAATCCACGCGAGTAGTTCGCGGCATATTTACTTCCCTTCCTCGCTTCATCCGTTCCCTCGTCACCTTCGTAAAAACATTTTCTCGCGCCTCTTTGATATTCGACCGACACAACGCATCGCCCCGACGAGAAGGGAATTACATTGCGCTGCGTTTCGCAGGCGCGAAATCACGCACCGATTAGACTCTTGGAATGTTGGACACGCTTGAAGTGCTCGCGCGCTTTCCGGCGAACGCCTCTTTTCCCTTTTCCTCATGTCCTCTTTGACGCGATCTCCGACGCGTCGGGGATCCGATCGTCCCGCGAGTCCATCAGTTCGTGGAAAAGTACGACGCAAGTCCGCGACGCGTGCAACGCGACATGGCAACTGTTAATAACTTAAGCGCTCGCTAGTGTAACAATTAATATTTGTAGAAAAAGAAGGTATCTTTTCAGGAGACGCCGCAAGAGATCCGTCCGTGATGGATCCCGGCGACGTTTGGTCCTCCCGCCGACTCACCGAGACACATACACACGGTGGTCAGCAAGTATATATGTACAAAATGATATATACATATATATGTATATATATATATAGAAAGGGAGGCGAGAGCGCATTTCTGCCTCGGCTCATTAACATTACGTGGAAGACGGAAGATGAATGGAAGGCACTGAACTTACATTGTACGTCAGATCGCGCGTGATTCGCGAGCACGATATCACAAAACTCGCGACTCGCACGGTCCCCGAAATCAGCGACACGTCCGAACAAATCCGGCGATATTCTGTGCACGTGTGCGTGCATATTTCTCACGTTTTCAATCGATACGAATTTATCGAATTTCCCGCGCAAAGGGCTAATTATATTTTGCTTTAATTAACGCAAAGATACGCGAATTATTTATATATAATAATATTTACTTTGTTGGACATACAACATGAGACTGACAAATTTTTACACTCGAATTGCAAGTATACAAACCCAGTTAGTTGACTCAAACGAAAGCGAATCTTTTTCATTTTCGTTTCAAAGAACCAAACTTTGGTTCTCACAACCAAAACAAATGTTTGCTTATGTCCAAGCAAGAATTTTGTTTGAGTCAACACATATACCGACTTTTCAAGGTATGTTACTTACATTGCCCAAAAATCTGCTTCGCAGCTGTTTTTAATGTTTTCCTCCCTTTCTCCCCACAGAGAATGAATAAAACAAAACTAATTGGAATAAATTTAATACGTTATCGTGCCGTTGCTTGTTTAATCGAATATATTTTGCTCCTTCCCGAGTGCGCGAATCGCGTGATACAAGTGCGATTGAATTAACTCGCTTCTCTTATTGTACGACGTGTCGTCGAGATTCTATTACTTCAGAAGCGTCGCACACGAAGGAGAAACGACCGGAAAACATTGTCGCAGGGGGATAACCATGCTAATCGCCGTTGATGCAATCGATCCTAGCGGGATATTAAATTTAATCGAACGCAGACGTTTTTTGCCCATTAAAATCCCGCGATTTTACCGCGGTTATTTCGCGCGAGTGCTCGCGCGACGCGAAACGGGCGTTCGATTTTCAATTAGCCGACAAATTCTTCCGCGATACTGCTTGTGCAGCGATTTTCCGCGTTGAAGTCTACGGATTGCGCGTCGCTCGTGCAGTTCCTCGCGCATGCTCCGCACGAGTCGCGCAAGTCGGATATATACGAAACATAAAAAAATTAAACAAAAAAAAAAGAAAAGGAAAACCAAGAGAAAACAATGCTCGCGGAGATGTTCGAACGTGTCGCTTGCGATGGTACACATCGTCTCGAAACGAGAATGGCCAAAGTCGGTTAATTTTTTCATCACCAAGTCGCAGAACGACGTTGATCGTACTCGTGCCGAAGTAATTGAACTTCGGAAGGCTTTCGGAGTCTTCGGATGGATCGAAAGAGATTCGTCGATTCCGTCATCGAAAACGTCGAATAATCCATTTCTGCGATTTCGCGGAGGAAGTAAGAATTCCCCGAGCGAAGAGATTGACGTTGATATGATTATTGTTTCGTGCAGAAACTTGAAAAAAAGTTTTTATCTCTGAAAGATATCTCCTCCGTCGTTGTACACAATAATAACACGTAATTATCCCATTATCACAAGTTTACGTAATTCGCCGCTTTGAAAGATGGATTATCGTGCGATTTCGACGTGAATCGCGTTGGATCTCGCGATCAAACCGCGTCGAATCGAGCAACGGTGGCCTCTCTCAGAAACGCGCGCTGGTCACCTTTAAAATCGCGACGCTGCCTCGTGGATCGAGAATGCGAGAGCGAATCTCGCCCGGGAAAGAGAGAGCGAATAAAGGTTGCACAGAAAATCGCGCGACGTGACGGCACGTCGTTCGCGAATCCGAGCTTATTATTCCCTTTGCCTTAATGTCGCCCCCGAACCCGTTGTCGTCGGTGCATTAAATATTCCACAATTTTTCCTGTCGCCCGCGAGGCAAAGGGAAAAGTCCCGGTCTCGCCATTGCATTCTCGAGCGGCAATCTTCGCGGCAGCCGTCGCGAATTCGGGAGAGACGTGGCGGCAAAATCTCCGCTGGCCGATTACACATGCATTCGCGAAAACAAAGATCATTATCGATCGGAAAGGAGACCAAAGTGTTTATCGTTTCACAGTGGATGATCGGACAATAGAAAAAAAATGTGCAGCGCATTTTCGCAAATTTTCCAATACTTCGATAAACTAGTTATCAATTGGCGAATATCATATTCGTGTCACACTTTGAAATAAAAGCGCACAAAGCTGACTAACCCTTTGCGGTCACAATCTGGAATATTCCTGGCAATGCACCGAGAAGGTTTAATATGTACGGAAAAAAGAGATTGGTTAAACTTGACAACGAACGAATCGAGCGTGTTTCCCGAAAGAAATATAATTGCTAGTTTTTACACAAAAAAAGAATAATGCTGTTGAATCAATAGAATTTCGAATAGAATGCGTGATTCGAGTGGAATTTCTTGATTCAGCGGCGATGTTATTAAAACTATCGAATCAAACTGGACGAACACAAGACTAATACTTTAATTATTGTAACAATATATTATATATATTATATATAACATAGTTGTTTCACTGATATTTTCCCATAAATAAGATTTACTCCAATCACACTGTTGTTGAAAATTTTATCGATTCAGAACAGAACTTTTATTTCCGTGTACAAACTAAACTCGGTTTCAAGGACGGGAAATTCTGTCCCCTTCAATCAAAACTCATTCGGTTTCGACGTCACGTTGATTCCAACCAATCTTTTTTCTCCGTGTTCCGCACTAACCCGAATTTCGATATATAAAATTCCGCGTAAATAAGATTTACTTTACATCATGTATCACGGTGCGAATAGTATTTCCACGTGTAATTTAATGTGCGATCTGCTTTATCTGCCGATTTATTGATCAATACGCGCAAGGGCAATCGACAACAATCTGATTTTATCGCACCACGTCTCTTCGTTCAACGAATCTGAAAAGTCGGCGTGACCAGCGCTAAGAGTCGACGTCGGCCCCGGTTTCGGCCTTGACTGTCGGTCACTCGTTCTCGTTGTCGTCGTTGAAATAGAGCGAGACTATCGAGTGCTTCTTGCAGAAGGCCCACCACCAGCGGAAGCCCGACAGGCCACCGAATATAAAGCTGGGGTCGCGCTTCTGCTTGAGCTGCTCGACGAAGTTCAGTATCGCGTTCAGGGACTTCTTGGTGCGCCGATTGTACGGACTAACGCTGATGTCGCAGCAAAACTCGAGCACCGCTGTCTCCTCGCTCGGGTTGAGGCCGGCCTCCTCCAGGATCATCATCCTCTTAGACTTGCCGAGGATGTTGTCGTAGAGGGTGCCCTTGGGGATCCCGTACTTGGTCGAAGCCTGGGTGAAGCGCATCCTCTGGGTCACCACGGCCTCGATCGCCTCCTGGAGATCGTGCCGCGTCCACGTGGGCGCCTTCAGCTTCAGTAGGGACGTATAGTCAGCTAGAAAATAGTCAGCGATTTCTTTTCGACTTTCTCTTTCCCCTCTCACCGTCTCGTAAGTCTCTCGTTCATATTTTCGCCGGGTCTCGTCGCATGGAAAACGCGCCGAAAAACTATGGCCGAGACAGCCGCATCCCAAGAGAGAAGACGGACCGCATAAGAATCGCGCCTTCCTGCGCCTTTCCAAAGGCTTTCTCCCTTCTCTCTCTTTCTCTCTCTCTTTCTCTCTTTTTCTCTTTTCCTTCCGTTTATTTCCCACTTTCTCTCCTCGATTTTGCGTTGTTCGGGTTCGGCCGCTAGCACCGAATACCCGGTAGAGAGTGAGCGGAGAAATTCGCGATTATGTAAGACGTGGAAAACGTCATCAGGATGTGATGAAAGTGCCTGAGAATGTGTTGAGAATTCTCCGAAAAGAACAACGGAGACCTACCACAGAGTTAGTAAAGTCAAATAATTGGAATCGTACGTCCCAAATAAAACTGGGTAAATTAGAGAAGTCAACTAAAAACTCTCGAGAAGACACAATCGAAGGAAAGCGTCGAGAGAAATTTTGGTACCTCGTAGAGTGTCAGTAATTGCTAATTGCGGAGAACGAGTTTATGTTGAGAAATATATTGCTACGACCTACATACGACCGGATAAGCAATTAACATTGTATACTGATGAAAAAGAATACATATCTTAGGAGGTGGCAACTTCGAGCAAAATGCACGGGATCGAGCGGGAGTCGCGAGACTTGCGAGTTTCATTCAAAATGAACGGCCGATCGAAATAATTCATCCGAAACGTAAATCAACCTTTCCCCATTTTTTACCAGATTTTTGATAGTTGTTAAAAAAAATGGCATCGATCAGTTTTAGTAAAACGATGAGAAGGCAGCAGCGAATGGAAGGAATCTTCGAAGAAGATCGAAGGGATGGCTTCTCCCTTTCCTTATTCGACTCTGTCGAAATTTTAGTCCTACATTAAGTCTGCTCTGAAAAAGAACTTGGTAATAAGTACTAAAATTTGGTGAATATTTGCCGACCAAATATTTGATAATTATTGCAAGCAAATAATTCCGTTTCATATATATTGTATATATTGTATATACAGTACTATAATTCCGTATATTGTATATTTAGTACACGGAACTAAATTATTTGATTAATAATCGAATATTTGGTCGGCAAATATTCACCAAATTTTAGTACTTATTACCAGGTCCTTTTCTCGAATATATTTAGTCCTACATCTAAGTCTTCAGGTGAAGAAGACGGAAATAATTTCCCATTTATAGCATCAAAGGAGCACTAATAATGTTTCTTTGATGCTACAAAGGAGATTTAGACTTCCCGTGTGAAATCTTAAATTCTATATTAAGTCTTCAAGCGGAGAAAACGGGAATAACTTCCCACCAACATCTAGCATCAAAGAGAGCACAACAGAAGACCTTTGGATACTTAACGTGGAACTAAATAGACTGAATGTAGAACTGAAATTTCGAATCGGGAATCTACGAAGCTACAAACCTCGCGATCGGCCACGAGTTGACATACGCCGACGAATCTCGATTTTAGCATGTCATTTTATATCGGCGATATTAACCGTAATTATCCGGGCCGTTATAATTATACCGTAATTATCCCTTTAGACGCGCGGTCGCGTAACTCGAAGCGAAAGGGCCGAGAAGACGAAGGAAGGGTGAAAGGGAAGTCGGCGGCGGCGGGTGCGGCGGAGCGACGGCCACTGTGTGGTCCACAGAGCGCGTCACACCCACGCGTGTTAGCAGCAGTTAACGTCACTCACGTCGGCCATGCGATTTATGCGGTGTCGCGGCGCCGCGCCGATTTCTGGCTCGCGAATTGCGCGTAATTATGCAGGAAGGAATTAATTCCGGAATTGAAGAGTACGATCCCGAGGCTCGCGCGTTCGCCAACATTTCGGTTCCAGCGGATACTCGTGCGCGCGTTCGTCTCTCTTCCTTCCTCTCACCCTCCCGTTCCTCGCCTCTTCGAAATATTCAAATATATATTTTTACGTAGGGAACGTGCGCGCCGAAATTAGCGGAGAAAATAGACGGCGATATTCTCCGCGGGACGTCGAGTTATTCCATTTCTGTTAATGAAAATGCCGAAGCGTAAGTAATTTTCCGACTGCGCGAGTTGCCTCCCCCTCCGCTCGTCCCGTCTCGTCTTCGCCAAGAGCGAAGAACTCCTCCTTCGAGATTAAGCTACCAGTTTTTGAAAATGAGTAATGAGATATGGTATCGTTCCGTGGCCGATTCGAAGCGATCTCTGTTCTTGCGCGTCGGAATTTCAATTCGAAGTTTAATTACCGGGAATATCGACGGTCGAAGTTTCCGCCGCGGAAAAATTGACCTCGAATTTCATCGCGCGAGCTAGCTCATCGTCTTCTTCCCATCCCGCGTAAGGGCCGATGCTTCGAAGGAAACATAAAAAAGGAGTAAGCCGAAATAATAGAAGCCGACCTCCTTTTTGCATAACAATCCGATTGCGTTGAAATATGAATAATCTCGTTTCGCGCGCGCGCACGAATCGATCCTTCTACGACCGCCGGGAACGATCGACGGTGAGCTAGAAAAAAAAATAAAAAAGAGCATTGCGCGCAATGGCGTCACCGGCTATATCCGGATTGAAATAATCGTGTCGAATAATATTATCATACAATGGCGTTTCGTCGCGCGTACAACCTGCGGTTTTGCGAGGGGGCATTTTCTCTCTCTTTTTCTGTCTCCTTCTTTCCGTCCCTCTCTCTCGGATTGGCAAATCGTCGCGCGCGGACAATCACACGCTTGGGCAATCGCCGTTCTCAAAAGATGCACATGCGAATTAGGTATTAAACCGATCATCGACTCGAAAGGACAGTGCGGTCATCTCGATGTGAAAAGACGAGATTCTCAATCTACACACTTGATTCCATACCACCCGGCGACGGATCAGCCATCTTTCCTCTCGTCAGAAAGTGCAAAGCCTTTTGCTTGGAGGGGAAAGCCGGCAAAGATCCCTTTGGAAAGTTGGAAATATCTATACACAGCGGGGACGGTATCGGTTTGAATAGCTTTGTCTCAATTATAGATTCCCGGCCGATCACGAAGTCGATTTTACGTTAACGAGAATTTTATCGGAGCGCGCCTCTCGGCGAACTTTCGGAAGATTTTGAATTTCCAATTTTCGCGGCGCGCGCTCGCGCGCGAGTAAAGCCGGCGAAGGCCCTTCGGTGTTCGCCCCGAGAAATGAAACGCTCTCGTGAACGAGAAAAGCGCGGAATAAATAAGCGCGATCGTTAAAGAGAAGCAAACAGCCGGCGGCCGCGTCTCATGGGAAGTCAAGGAGTAATCGAAGAAAATGATTTAAGCGAGCCGAGAGGGGATACACGCCCACGCATTTAGCACACGTGCGAGCATGCATGCACGCACGCATGCACGCAGGTACGCACGCACGTACATACGCACGCACGCACGCATGGCCACGGCACCGGGGATCAATTCGAGACGCGTATTGCGGCGTTTATGCGCGTTTATGCCGCCGACCGAGCGTACCGCGGCAAATCAGGGTAGAATGCAAAAGCGACCGAGGAAATTGTTCGGCGAACTTTTCCCATCGATTCGAGTTCTCCCCCGCTAATGAAAATTCCCCCCCCCCCCTGCCGGCGGAATTTTCGCGAGCTCTGACAATACACCCGCGCGATCTATTCTATCCGCTACTTCAGATCCGCGAATATCCTCCGTTACGAATGTCACGAGTTAGAAGAATGTGTGCAATTACGCTAAATAATATAATCTTTTTCCATAAATAGCTAACCTTTGGCCTCCTCGACAATATATTAATGCGATTTAAAATTTGAATATGGAATCTGTTTATATCTAGCAGCTATAAGTAGTTATTTATACCTAGAATATTGCATTGATATTGAAAAGGACGTTCATTTGCCGAGATTCGCGCTTTACACGCGCAGAAAAATACATACCGCATCCAAGTGAATTCAAGTAAATTGTTTCAAGTATTTTTCATAAGTTTATATATCCAAGTATATCTCATAAGTTCATCATAAGCATCAAATGTATTCCAAATTTATTACGAATCCTAGTAAGTTTACTATACTTCCATCAAGAATATTAAATTAAAATAAACCGAGTAATATGCTTTTCTTTGCGGTAATATTTTTCTCTGTGCACGACGCATTAGAAGAAAATTAGAGGAAAAAAGAAAAAAAAACTGACAGTTCTTAAAAAAAAAAAGAAAAAAAAAACAAATGAAAAAATCATAATTATGTCGTCAAGATCATCACAGAATTGATATAACGATCAAGAAAGAAAGAAACAAACCAACGCGAAGTATTTGCGAATATCTGTTGAATTAATGAAATTGAAGAAAATATGGAGCTGATCTTTTTGTAGCACAGTGTGGCGTTTAAAGTTCGAGGAGACATGGTTCCCACGCGAGATGGAGCGTGGAATGGTACGCGAGGTGCGCGAAACCGCTGTCTTGCCCGTTTCGTGTCTCGCCTAGCAATAGTTACAGCTAGCGCGTAAGTTACAGCGAGCCACGACGCGGGCATTGCGAATCGCGGGCGTGTTATCGGCGCTATTAACCGGCAGCCACTTCGTCGTCGTCTATCTAAATTGCTTTCTATATTAAAGCAAAACGCATTCCTGCGCTTTATTATTGCCGGCCGTAATGACGCAGGCCCGCGCGCTCGAGCAACCCCCTTTTCCCTTCCTTCTTTCCTCTCTCTTTATCGTTTATTGCCGCTCGACCATCGCCACCTTCGACTCTCCGTCTCGACCTCCTCCTCCTCCTCGTGTTGCCACCTCCCGCGATTGTGAACGAGGTCGTTGACGACGACCGGTGTGTTCCGGTGCTGCATTGTTCCGCGAGTAACACCTAGGAGCGCGGGGTGAAACAACGATGAGATATCGATCTCCGTGGGTCGCTCAAAGAACCGGAGATGGTCGTTCGCGAACGCCTCGCGAACGGGCGAATCTCAGGCGTTTCTAGGACGGGGCTCGTCGCCCGCAGAGTCGCGGCGATTCGAGCGGGTCACAGCGTGACCGTGAACTTGGCGCGATGCGGATCGGCGACGAGCCCCGAGGGACAGTTCGAGAGAGGGAATTTCCTCTCGAACGGAAGGGATGATCGGCCGTTGGGCCGCTACTTACGGAAACCGATCGAGCATCGCGCGGCAGATACACACAGAACGGCGGATCATGCGAGAGATATTGCAGGAGAGGAATGTGAAGTCTTTAAACATGTCGCGAAAATCGACTATACGGGGTGTTTCCGTCCGATTCCGTACTCTCTTTTAATGACAGACGCTGTGTGAGTGGAAAGCTCGGATCTGAAAAAAAACGCGACGATTTCGCGATATCGAATGAAGGCATGGGGAATAATTAAAAAATTAATTAATCGTTCTGAAGTTCCGCGAGGTGGACCGTCACGTTTTACATATTTCTCCCATAAAGTGTCATTTATCTTTTTTATTTGCGCCATTCGGTCAATCCGCGTGAGCTTTATAGGCACAAATAGTATCACTTTGATCTTTGACTGATAATATTACTTTGCTAAGTTACAAAAGTCAAAAGGGAAAAACGAACGATATTAGAACATCGTCACTTTTCACGGTGCGAGCGGTTAATCTTAATTCTCCGCGTAAGCTGCCGTGTATCCTTCTCCCTCTTCCTAGATGTGATTCGTCCTGGTTACTCACGTAGCGTCTATATGTAAAGGAAAGTGCGCGGCTGGTACAGGGGAGACACCCTGTGCATAGAAATAGGCGATCAGACGTTGAACGTGTGTGCGCATTGCCTAACGTGGAGGCTTGCACGTCCGGCCTGGGGGGCCGTCGAGAGGCGATTATCTCCTGAAACGTATCGAAACGAGACGAAGAGGAGAAAAACGATGTCGGGACTCACCTGCTATACTGGAGGTGGAGGCGCCGAGCCAAGCGTGGGATGACTCCAACAACTTGGCCTGAAACAGAAAAAGTTCGGGCGTCAGACGTCAGCGTGCCGGTACGATTAGCGGCCGGATTTTACGGCCGACCGGGAAAACGACTTAATCCTACGGACCCCGGGCTGGCTCTTTTTCTCAAACGACGACAGAAACAAAAAAGGGAAAGAAACCGGCCGCGAGACGGAATGATTATTTAATCGGAAATCGCCGGCGAGAGAAATTGAAGGTATCCCGATCGCCGCCGCCGCCGCCCGGCGTCGCGAGTATTATATAATACGCGCTTACGAGTTTTACATAACGCAAAGAGAGCACTCGAAACTCCATTTAAAAATCCGTTCGCTCCCTGAAAAAAAAGGGAAAGGGGAGAAAGAGGAAAAAAGGAAACGCTTCAATTATCGAATCGCTCGGGGTTCGGTTAATTACCGTTTTCCTTTCGGTCGGTGAAAAATCTCGCGAAAGAGGCACGATCCAAAAGAGACGGAGAGATCGGAGGAGCGGAAGCCGGGAACAAATAGGCGAGATACGTGTATGTGTGTGTGTGTGTGTATTATAATGATGTGATTTCCTCTTTTTCAGTTAACAGCAGACGGAAAGGCTGTGTGACGCACGCGATTCGCGCCAGCCGATGCGACTGCCCGGCGATCGTGCTTCAGCGGGCGACGCCGGATAACGCGATTTCCCGAAAATTTCCCGCGACACTGACGATAAGAAGGGGGGAGAGAAAAATCACCGGAAAGCGCGGGGTAATCGGTCGGCTGTTCATCTCCGCCGACAACTTTGCTAATATGCGAGGCTTCCCCAACGTCCGCGGAAGGGGTTCGCGAGACGTGGGCACCGAAAGCGCAAGACACACGCAAAGTTGGCTCATTTGAAAAGTTTCATCCTCCCCCAACACTCCCTCCTTCCCTCCCACCCGCTTCGCCTGCTTTCGAATTTCGCGATTTCCGCAATATCGCGGGGAGAGGCGCGTATGCCGCTCACTATGCTTCTCGTACACGCTGCACTTCCGGGCTCTCGCCTGACTTTTCAAATTAATTTTTAAGGGTCGCTCGATGCACCTCGATCAAACCCTTCTGCTCCGCGTTTCTTCCATTTTTTTGTTCGCTTTTTCTCCGTTCATGTTTGCTGCGCGAAAAACTTTTTCGTCAAGCTGTGAGCGGCGGGATACTGCCTTCGTGTGAAGGATACTCATGCAGAAAAACTTCTCATTTCGTATGGACAGCTCTTCCTTCTCTTTCTCATCGTCTATTGAGGATATATTTTTCCATTAAATATCGAACCAACGAAGAAAGAGGAAATATTCGACGTTAATCAAATTAGAATTTCTTTATCAAGCTTGTTAGGAGACTTATGAGCAAACTTGAACTACCGAATTAGCCGAATTTTCAGCTTGGCTTCGACAACAATGTCATCTTGAGAGTCGAAATTCGGTGCCATAAATAAATATTTAATAATTAATATAAATTTTTAATGTAACGGGATCAAATTCCGTCGGGTAATTGAAACATTTTGTCGGCATTTTTTAAATTGAAGACTCTTCTCGACATCGCATTATTTAACAAGCATCTTCGATCGAATTGTATTTATGCAAGCGTCAGTGCCAGGACGGAGCAATCAGGATGCTGAATCGGGAAGTCAGAGTGGAGGACGTAGAACGCCGAGAGATGCGATACATAATATGCGAGCAGCGATACATATTATATATACGATACATATTATATTTCCAGTTGTTACATCATTTATTATATAGAAGGTTCTCGATTTTAACGGACGTCTGATGAGTTTATCCGAGAATAAAAGATACTTAAATCGAAATTTAGATTGGCATTCATGATTTGTCGCGTCGCTTGACAAATAATTATAACTTCGTGAGTCACTAATTACATTTGTCAAACTGTCTACTTGTACTTACCACAATATTTTCTACGAAAATATTAAATAATTCTGCAATATAAATCTCTTGAATATCATGATGGAGGAAACGGCAATAAACGACCATTTGTAGCATTAAGGTAGAACAATAGAACGATATTACATATCAAACTTCTCCGCATATTGGTCCTTCAAATTCAACGAAATTCGTAGGATTAATGTAGAAACGATATATAACCGAAAAATTTCGACTCGAGACATCAGTCCCTCAATGTCGTCGTTGCCATCGGCAGCCAATCGCGGCAGTTATACCGTAAATCGCTTTTTGGTGGGGCTCCTCGCGGTCATCGGGACCCGGTGGGTGCTTCTTCCCACGAGGAAGCGGAAGGCGGCGGCGGCGGTGCAGCGAAGTAACGATGTCTCCGCCGCCGTGACACGAGGGGGATGGCACCGAGCTGGCAATTTCGCGAAATAGCCCCGCGTCAATACACGTGCACGCATCTCGGCTAAACCACACAAAGAATTATTGAGCAGCCCGCTGTTTCCGACGGGCCTCGCGAGCTGGAGGAGGACGCGCAAGTGAGACCGCGGAAGAGAGAGAAAGAGAAAGGGGAAGCGCGCGAGCGAGCGAGGGAGGAAACAGAGGAAGGGTGGAGAAAGAGAGGGCAGAAGGATGGAACGGCAGAGAGGGAAAGGAGGGAGGGAGGGAGGGGAGGGGAGAGACACCGAGCCTGCTGCAGTTGTAACTTGGACGCGCAAGTAGTATATCGTGGCGCGTGCATTTTTCATTGTCTCGTGTCCCCGCGCTGCGGTGCAGCTCGCAGAATACGCCGCAGAGTGCATATACACGACGTGCCGGTTGACGTGTGCATTGACGAGAAAATTGCGAGCGTCTCTATATATCGCGGTCGCCTACCCTCGGCTGCGCTCTGTGTCTTCCTTCCCTCCCCTTCTCTCTCTCTCTCTCTCTCTCCCCCTCTCTCTCTCTCTATCTGTCTGTTTCTCTCGTCTCCTGGTCTACACATTTTTCTATGTATCTCTTCTCTCTTTCTCTAGCTTCCTTTTTTCAGACCGTCATTCTTACGTTGCACTCGAAACGCTTATGCAACTGTTTTTTTCTTTTTCTCTTCCTCTCGCCCGCCCTGTCCTTTCGCGGACAATTGCGCGTAACGGATTTTCGCAGCGGCACGACACGACGCGGCGGAGAGTCGAATTTCATGATAAAAGAATCGCGAATAATTAAGAGCGTATTCGAAGTAGAAATCGTAGCGCTTTCTCTTCTCCGATTCGCTCGCTCCAGTTCCAAAGATCGACTGCCTCTGCTAACGAGAAGGAAATCTCTTCCGGAGCGGCGCGTGGGATAAGGATGAGCGGGCTGCATCGGTCGCGAGGCGGCGTCTCGACGCGCACAGAGACGGCGGCGGCGGCGTCCGCGTCATTCAGCAGTCTGAATCTCAATTTGTTTCGACGTGCAGTAGCAGCCCCGTGTATAGTCCGGCCAGTTTCTGTATGATGCATGCCGCTAATGGAAATGAGGCCTCGTTCTCGTTCTCTCTCTCGTTTCTCCCTCGTCCCTTCCTTTCATCCCTCGTTCGCCCTCCGTTCTCCTTCTCTCCGACTCGTTCCGACAGAACATGCATCCGTCTTCGTCATCCTCTTCGTCTTCCCCTTTCGCTTTCCCCCTCCGACGGGAAGACAGCAGTCACCCCTGGCCGTGGCACCGAGAGGGTTCGTGAATTAAATATGCTCGCGCTCGTGCGCGATTTTGCCCCGCTTGTGAATCTCTCCCTGTTTCTTTCTCTCTCTCTCTCTCTCTCTCTTCCTCTTTCTCTATTCCTCTTCTCTCTCGCTCTGCTCGAGCTCGTGTTCCATTGCTCGCCTCTTCAGCATCGCATGCACCCGCTATTAACCGCTTTCAAATTACCGGGCTGACCGCCTTGAATTTTTCACGACCGCCGTCGCGGTCCCGGGTTCTCCTTGATCGCGTTGCGATGCGGTCGGAAGTCCCGGAAGCTGTTAACGGGCTTGAGCTTCGAATGGCAGGGCGCAAGTTGTAAATATCGATGCGTCTGATATCGCGAGAGATCCTTTGCGACTAGCACGATGCACGATTCTCTCTGGTTTATGCAACCGTTCGAGCGTCGTATTTATGTAAAGCGACCCAAGAGTCACAATTACGGTTCTGCATTAACTATGCAAACTCCATTGAACTTGCAGCACTAATCTCAAATCATAAGGTGTAACATTATATATAAATTATTGCCTTTCGATTATGGAAACGGTTGAAACGGTTATTCGTCGAGGTTTTGTCGAGAATTAAAACAAGATTTGTATGCAGGTCGAATTTTGAAATACAATGGGATATTAAATATGTGATTTTTTGAATAAATGCTTCTTTAAACTTCAACATAGAATAATGATAAGTAAACATTTATAACATCAAGGTAGATATAGTCAATACAATGTTATACTTTGATATTTTCCGTTAAATATTTAATTCAAGTTTTGTAAAATTTGCGGAATTAGTGGAGAACGACAATTTCGATGTACTTGTAGTTTCGTTGACCGCGCCCGATTTTTTATACTTATTCATTAAACGACAAAAAAACATATCAAAATAATTATCTTGCAATATTGCAAGCGTACTAAATATAGCACATTTGTATCAGGTTTTCTTAAATATTTAATCATCAACGACATCAAAGACATTGACAACGAAAGCAAAGACATCATATTTTCACAAAGAGCCGATAAGAAAGATATGCGAAAGTGGAGAACACAAAATCTCGTGCAATTTTCGCGTGAGATAAGAACAATTCACAGACAGATAACGACAATGTGTCAATAAAACGATTAACTGTCGCGAAGCAACGTTCGCGAGAATCGTTGCAGTAAATCCGCTCGATGACTTTCGGCCGACTCACCGCGGGATCAAACGACGACGACGACGACAACGACATCCCGACACCTCGGCGTCTAAAATAAAATATCTGGGCTCTCAGGATATCGTCGCCGTGAAAACTTGGGCTATTTTCCAACGAAACAAGTTGCTGGAAAGTTTCGGCCGAACGAAAGTTCTGTCTCGGACTCGAAAGAGATTCGTTCGTTCGTCTCTCTCCGTCGTTCGAGAGCCGGCGACACACCGT